TTAGATATCTTCAACAAAATTCTAAAGAAAATTTAATTTTCTTGAAACATTCAATTTTTATTGCATTTTTTAAATTGTTTGTTCATTTTGTCTTGATTTTGAAATTACTTTGCACAAGATTATTTTTTAATTAAATTTAAATGTTCCATGTAGATCATTAATAAGTAGTCTTAAAGAATTATGTAGGGTACTATTGTACAGCAGATTTGAAAATAAATAAATTTACTACATTACAAAATGAGCTACTATTTTCATATTATGAAAGGTAACATAGTTTTGGTGGCTGCGTAAACATTCTTGTATATGAGAATTAGAATCTAGTCATGCATGTGAATCTAGTGTGCTGTGCTGTGGAAACCTTCGGTAAAAATAATTTTCCATTACATGGTTTTCGTTAGAAATTTGGCATTAATATTTTAGCAGCCTATAATTTAAGGTGCTCTTGGTAAATTTAATGTATTTTATTCCTAAATTAACCCTTAGAAATGTGGTTTACTTTTTGTGTCGCTACAAGTATGATAAGAAACTGATATATGTATCCTTAGAAATAGGAACAATGTTAATGTTTAAAAGCTAATAAGCAGAATTACTGTAAAATACTCTTAAGTTATTTGTATTCCTATGAATTACTTAAACCTGTAGATCCTTGTCTAATGTGAAGAGGCAGGATATTCAAAGACTGATAAGATAGTTGGAATTTTGTAATGACATTGTTTTGTAGATTTTTGTGATAAAATATTTTGTAGAGTTTGAGCAATTTATGAATACACAAACAGGTTCTATAAGAACTTGTCATTTTATAGTAATATATACCTCAAACATGTATTTTCTTATTTTACATATACAATTACTTTCTATTTGCATTTGACTGCATCTTAAATGTTGATCACCTTATTATTGAATAGTGCTTCATGTTATTGTTCTTTTGTAATATATCATGAATAAATAATTGCTCATCAGTGTAATTTTCATTGTGTTGATTGGTTATTGTCTACTATTTGAAGTGTGCTTTCCTTTACTTTCTCGGTTCTCGTGTGTCAATTTATAATTAGTTATGTTCTATTTTCTGAAGAACAAAACCATTTTTCTTTGCGTTACTGTACATGAACATCTTAGATTTGTTTTTGAACAAGACGGAAATAAAAGAATTGTTGGCAGTAAAAAAATTGCTTCTTCTTGGAACTTCAAAAAATTGATGGGGGTAAGTTTGATTTGTTATTCTTCATTAATATCGCTTTAATATTCATTGTCATTTGAATATCTTCGTGTTATTATTAATGTAATTATTTTTCATTTTAGAAGTTGATAAAATTCATTTTTGAGAATTATGAAATGCGTGTCCCAACTTCACCTTGTTTCACCTTGTTTTTGTGATAATTTAAACTTCTGTTTGATGGGAGTAATTATGAAACTTGTACTTTTAAATATGTTAATTTGAAGTATATTGAGACTCAGTGTAATATTGTCTAACATGATTTGATTAGATTTATGTGGATTTGACCCTGTCGTGCTTACCTTTTAGGTGACATACGAGCTGAGCTTCTGCGTCTAATTCATGAAGACTGGCTTCATTCTCCTCTTCGTTCACGTGTTTCACGTACTTATACCAGTTCTAGTCTTTGGAAAGCACTGCTTGATGTTACTGAAGGGGAAAGCATTTATATGGCTGCCAAGCACAATGGTGTGCCACGGAAAACATTGCGAAATTGGATGAAGCGCTGGAATATCAAAAGTGTGTATCCTATGCCAATGCAACTTAGAGGCTGCCCCACAAATCAAAAGGGTTTTAAAAGGGTAAAGAGGCAATGAAAGGAGGGGAGGAAAAGTTACTATTGCCGTGGTATCAAACTATTTGCCATAGTATTTTTAATGAAACTTTTTGATTTGAATTTAATATGTCCTTTCACTGAAGCTAATTCTGTACGTATTTTCATTCAGCCAGCCTCTTTTAATGTACAACTATTGTTAAGATTGTTGTGGTGTTGGCATTCATGTATCTCATAACTTTATTTGAATGTAACCTACGTCTAACAAGTATTGCACTAGACTAAGTTTCTTGAAGAGAGACTTGAAGAATTAGACTGTTCTTCTTATTTTCATATGAGAGAAATTTTTATCCACATTATGAAGTATTATAAGTATAGGATTTGAACATATTATAAGTATGGGAACTGGAAAAAAAGGCAAATTTCAAGATGTACTGGATTTATTTTTATGCTGTAGTTAGGGGACAGAAAAGTTTTTTAGGAGAAAGAATGCTTTTTCATTCTCACTGTAAACTAGTCAAAATGTATGTGATGTTGAAACCAAAGTGTTGAGTATTATTAAAGTGAATGTAATGTAAGTAGTGAGAAAGGTAACAGTGTTTTCGTAGATTGAATTCTCTATGTCTAATGAAATGTTAGAATATCTGTGCTACGTTTTTTGTGATAATGTTAAACTGATGTGGAACTGGTACATAAAGTTGCTCACATGTTACTATTGTGCTTGTGTATGTACTTCAATGTCAATAACTTATTTTGTGTTTGATTGATGAACATAGAAACTTGTAAAATTGTGATATTACAAATAAAGAGTTAATATTTCATGTTGGCACTTTTAATTCCAGAAACAACATAAAAATGCTGCTTTGAGATGTTTATATATTAAATTAAATCGAAGGTTAATTACATCGTAATTGTGAGGATTAAAATTTAGTGTGTCAGTTTTAAGATGTATGTTGTAGCCAGTTTAGAAAGAGTAGTGCTGAATGTGCGTATTTTATATTACAAGTTTTCAATCAGAATATCTATTTGTGGGCATGTTATTGCAACTTTTTAATTTCTATATGTATTTCCAAAGAACTGGAAGTAGTAGTTTTCATCTTATTCCTTTTTGCTTTTATTCATCCTTGTTTGCAGGTAAGCTAGTTGGGTTTTATTAACATTAGAGTTCTTTTTTAATGTCAAAGCTCTTATAATGTGTTTCTGATGCCAAGCATTTCCTTTGCAGTGGAATTTTCTTGGCTTCCAAAGGTGCGACCATATCGCCAGTACTCAAATGACAACTTATGGGCTGCGTTAATGGATGTGAAGCAAGGTGGTAGTGTATATCGCGCTTCAAAAGAACATGGTATTCCACGCAAGACCCTACGAAATTGGATGAAACGCTGGAATATCAAGAGTGTTTATTCTCCACCAGTTCGTAGATCCGTTCCTCCAATTTTAGAAGCACCTATGGGTGGTGAGATCAGTAAAGGCAGTGGTGTCACATTGACACCAGTTATTCCCAAATTATTATCTCAAAAGAAATCAAATTTAGAAGGCAGGGTTAATTTGGGGACTCTCACTGTTAGTAGTGGAGTGACAATAGCTCCATCTGTTCCCTCTCTCCTAGCTTCACCTGTTGGACGAGTGAGACAGAGTAATTGTTGGATTCCAGGTTGTGAATTAGAAACGAATAGTGGTGTTGTAATTTCACCTGCAGTGCCATCAGTATTGGTGAATTCTGAGCCAGACATTCAATTGACAAAGTCATTGAGAAAATGAATTTTTTTTGTAATGTAACATGCTTGAATAATGGAAATTCGTTCTTTTTCGAAAAAGTCTATGAGAATGAAATATGTTGTATAGTATTCCGTAATTATTCTGTATTACTTCCTGGAAGTTACTGGGAACCTATGAAATGAGTATAATACTAGGGTTCTTTAAATGATGTGTAAAGGTTTCAATTGGAGACATTTGCCTTTGTTGAAGGCAACGAATGTTTAGATGATGTGAGAAACAAAAGGAAGAACTAGATTAAAGGCATTGAACTTGTTGATATTGTTTTGTTGTCATGATGCGCAACCGAGATTCGTATGAATTTTGCCTCCAAAATAATTTTATTTATGCATTTTTAACATGCATTTCATAATGTGTGTTGAAGGATAATGTTGTGTATGAAATGTTGAGAAACAAAGTATGTCCATGATTTAGGTAATGTAAATTTTCTGTCACTTGCAATCTTCAGACACATTTCAAATACATTTTCAGCTTTTTCTGATAATTGAAATAAATAAAAATTTACTCCCCCTCCACGTTTAAGAAGATATTTTCATGTCATACAGAATTTTCTCTTCCTTTTGTTTTTTTAATAGTAACATGTTGCACTAATGCTTCTTTGTGAAAGAAACACTAATACTTATTTCGTGTTGTTGACTACTAACTTTCGTATTTTTATTCTGAATGTTGCCGTTTAATGTGTGTTAACTATTGTTAATCATAAGACCAGATTTATCTGTAGCCAATATAATTCAGTATTGTATTTTTGGGTGTGATAATTATCTAAACATAAAAGTTGACTGAAAAAATTTGTATAGTTACCAGATTTATATGAGCAATTTTAATTTTAGGTGTCAGCAATTAAATGTTAGTGTGTAAATGGATGTGAGAATTCTTCCAAGTCTGTCGTGAGATGGTAGGTGGAATATTAAACAATGTTTTGAAAAACATCTGTTTATTATGCGAACAATTTGAAATAAATGTTGCAAAATCTCAGTACATTTGCTCGAAGATCTGTTGGTAAAGAATATAGAATTCTTGATAAGGTTTTCAGTGTTTCGTGAAAGTTTATACTGGATTGAAGCTTCTTGATTTTCCTTTTAGATAGCTGCTTACATTGCTTATTTCCAGCAAGCTTAAAGTTGATTCTGTAAAATTAATTAGTTTTGTAACTGGGTTATCTAATGTTTTATGTTTACAAACACTGTTTGGGGTTTGTACACATTTTTAATATATTACAAAGTTTTAAAACTACATACTGCCAAACGTGTACATGTATTTTCACAATATAAGAAAAGGTGTAACATAGATCACTCTGCGTGTGGTTTTGTGTGTGTGTGTTGTGTCTGTGTGTGTATATATATAATATATATCATCAGCTGTATTTTCTTGCACATATTTGTGAATAGTTTTCATGAGGTACATGAGCCTATACATTCCTCCCTTCCAATTTATTTTATTGTCTTGTATTTTTTTCAGTTTTGTGTTTTTCATCTGAAGAAACTTCAACTTGTGGTGCTGTATCTGTGCATATTCCAGTGAGAAAAACAAGGTCTAGACAAGATCGAAAATCTTTGAGTTCAGCTGCTGAACTGGTGTTGCAAGGCACGTCATTGAGACGTGCTTGTGAAAAGTATCAGGTTGCACGAAGCACTCTTTATGACTTCATGAAACGTAATCATTTAATGAACCATTCACCTAGTGTTAGAACTCCTTACAATTATATGGAAACAATTTCCAGCTATAACAATACCACTCATTAGCATGTTTTGTTAATTTCTTCCATATGTGTATCACATGTGTATTAATGGAACATGTTTATATGATTCTAAAAGTCGTTTAAGTTAATCTTGTCACTAATAGTGTTATCTTCATTAAAGATAAAAATCAATAAAAATAAGCGAGGTAATATCTAGAGAATTAATTTGCTTGCAATCTTATATTAATGTGCTATTGCAGATTAAGTAATCAATACAAAATTAGTGAAAGATTTGCTAAATCTTATTTCAGATCTTCCATATTTTATTTTCCAGTAAAAACATGTTTAGGGGTAATTCTGTAACTTCAAATATATTGTGTAATTTGATATTATGAATTGTATGTATTCCTTTGCCATGCATATTTCAGCTGCTGTAGATATTTTGTTGTGATAAATGTACAATAAGCAATTAAGCTGGTTTTGTTAATGATCTTCAGTAAATAAAAAATCTTACAACTTAAAGCCTTTTACTATTTTTTATAATACCTTTTTCTTGTTATTTTTAAGCCTGTATTTGTTGAATTTGTTTTTCATTTTGTGTTTTGTTGTAAGATGTTGGTTTTGTGCTGAGCTTATTTTTTCAGATGTAGAAGTGACTTTCTTTGTTCCTTATAAAACTATTTGTGGTGTTTTATTTTCATATTATTTTGATGTCTGATACATTGTGTGGATTAGCAGTCGCCAATTGTTCTTTTATTAGAATTCTTTTAATTATTATTACCACACAACCTTTCTCAGCAGATAGGTTTAGTGAGTGAGGAAATTAAACACATTTTTGTGCAATAATTTCAGTTTCATTATGTTATTTTTTAAAGTCATTACAATTCTCTTTTTCTCTAGCTCTCTGCATAATTAACACATCTTATTTATTTTGTTTATTTGTGCTGTATATCTTATACGGAATTCATGGTAATAACACTCAGAGGAGAGTTAAGAATACTACGTTTCTAAAAAATAATCATATTTGTCCGTTTTAGTGTGCTTTCTGACACCATTCTTAACGTTTGTTTATATTGTGTGTATGTTGAGATGATTTTGGTTTAATTGAAAGTGATTTGGATCTTATTGGTAATTTTGTACTCGATTCACAGTTTGAAAATTCTGTTGATTGTCTACAGAAAGATTGGTTAAGATGTTTGCAGTTATACTTTAAGAATGTTTAATTAAATACGAAGAGAAATCATCTTTATAGTGGACCTGGCTTCAGGGTATTACTATAACTAATCTTTGTTGTTGTTAATTACTTTTGAAGATGGTTCTCATTTGTTATGTCACATTTATCATTTAGGAGTAATGTAAGTGTTTTCTTAAATCTTCAACAAATAAATTTAATTTTTTTTTTTACTCTGGTAGTAATTGAATAATGTCTTTTTACAGAATTGAATGCTGCATATGCTCTTCAGAATGTGATGTGTGTTTTGTCACCGTCGATGTCTGCTGGCAAGATCCCAATAATGGCTATGCCAAATACACCAGATTCAAAGGAATATATTCCTATGCCGTCACCTGGATCATCACCTGGATCTACTAGAGTTCGTCGGTCTGAAGCTGAGTTGAGAAAGGCTGCTGAATGTGTGCAGAAGGGAATGACATTCCAGAATGTCTCCGATGCCTTCAATATCCCTATTTCAACGATAAGATTCTATATGGCTCGTAGGGGTATCCTACCTCAAAGACGTAGGGGTAGAATTTCTAATAGTGCACAAAATCCTGCTGCTAGCCAGAGTCAACAACCACCATATATGGTTTTACATTATAAATTACCTGACATTCAAAAAAAGACTACATAAATTATAAGGGACACTTCTGGAAAGAGTTGAGATGCTATTAACAGTTTTGATATGTTTTGTTAGTTTCATGTAGTTTTGGAGTATTCAGATTGTGTGTTAATTTCTGTGTGAGGAATTTATGTTATTCTGATTGATACATTTTTAAAAACAAATTTCCAATAAGTATACAGAAATATTTGAACACTTTTTGGAGACAATTACATAAACTTGTTAATTAAACCAATTATTGTATACATCTAGTGATTTGATTGAGGTAACTTTTTTTATTGTTTTTAAGAATTCATTACTCGTGCATTTTCTTCGACATTTTTCTTTTAGATTTTGCAGAAAAGGTTTTAATTATCAATTTTTTTGTTTGTGATGCTAAGTACGAGTTTTTAAAATGAATTATTCTCAAAGCAAGACTTGCGGCGTATAATATTTAATATTGACCATGCATATTCATTTTTTTTTCTTTCTACATTTCACTTGCACTGTTTCTATTTCCATTTTCATTTTATATTTATAACGATTGAATCACCTAAGTACCTTCTGCAGTTTTCAGAATTTTTTACGATGAATTTCAAAATATTGTACTTCATTTAATGGTTTTTCTGTCTTTGTTACATCTTGCCTTGAATGGAGAATTGAACATCGCTAGCATATATTTTTGTAAGATGGAAATGTAAAATGTGATTTATTGGCTCTTTAATTAATCAAATTATTCAATGAATAAAATTATTGATTGAAAAATTTGTTTTAATTCAAAATAGACTGGTTGAAGAGGAGTACAAATTTGTGCTAATAGATTATTATCAACAGAAAATTATGTGTGCAAAGTATACAATTTCTTTATATAGTGCGAAAAGTTTTAATGATCTGCATGCACTGAAAAAGATAACATTAATCATGAAAAGCATTGATCTGTAAAATGTTGAATTCTTAAAATGATTCAGATTTTCGTAGCTGTGGGTAGCATTATGTATACAGTTGTGACTAGGCATATATTGTGCTGAACCGAATTAACTCTGGGGAGGTACTGTATTACTCTGGCCTTGAGAAATTTATGTTGAACTTGAAATACTTAGAGAGTGTGTTAAAAAAGTTAATTGTTTTCTGAGAGTAGACACATTGGAAATTTGTTTTTGCTGAAGTAGTTCTTTTGCATTTTAATTTTGAATGCATTTAATTTTTTTTTCTGTTAAATTATTTCTATGATAATTAAAGCTCATAATTTTGATTGCTTTTTCACCCTTGAAAATTCTTCCATATTATGTTGCCAAAAATATCCAAATGTTCTTTCCAGAAGCTACTTCAAGTTATTAGTATTCATAAGCATTGTAATCACTTGTAGTTTTTAAATTACTAAAACATAGTTGTGTAAGCAAATCATTATACCTACATTTTCTGCTTACATGAACATAAAGACTACTTATTATATTTATAAAGGTGAAGTGTCATAAGTAATTTCTAGTATTAAGACATACATATATACATATACTGTGAGTGTGAAAAAGCAGAATTTTTTGTATAAATTTTTAGATTTGGAGACTTGTCTTTTGTGAATTCAATAGTTATTGTATAATATTATAAGTTACCACATAATCCACTTAATGATTTCTGAATGTGAAACTACACACAAATGCATCAGGAAATAGAATCATAGAAATTTCTTACAGATTTTGTGTGCTTGGTACATATTCTTCATGTGTCTTAGAAAGTGGCATTTATCACCTCTACATGACACCATATTATACATAAGTTATTCTAGCTATATTCTAAAATACATTGTACTGCATCATAGTGCTAGTAGTATTGTGTGCTACTCATATTTGTAGTTACAACTCAAATGTTTTGTACTATTAAACTTTCGGGCATTAACTGCTTTATTTAGGCATTAAATAATTAAATTGATGAGAACTGTTAGGTTGCTTGTGAAGAGTGATATACCTCTTTTGGATAAATGTTTCTACTGACAGTTTTACACTGAGTACATTTATGGTATATTTTATAAACAAATGTCATATTACATAATCAGTATTCTCATTTAATTAGAGAACATGATCTTAAAGATCTTACAGCAAAAGTCCATTACTGCTCTGTCCACTACAGGAGTCTTCATAATTTTAGTAGCAATCGAAGGTTTATTAAGTGAAGAACAAATTTTTTTCTCAGTTAACTTTTTTCAACATTTAATAAATAATTTATATTTATCAAGAAAACATTTCTATTAATTTCTGTGACTGCAAGTATCAAGTTTCCTTTGGATGATTTTGTTTTGCTATAGTTTGCTTTTTATTCTTAAAGGACAAAAAATTGTTGTGGTGAACTAATTAATTTTGAAAGTATATTCTGCACACAAACCAAATCAAAACATTGTTCTGTTTATTTCTTTTTCCCCTCATTAATTTGACAATTTATTTCTTATTTCTTCTTACTTTTGACTTCTAACAAGAAATTGGTGTGATTGTGAAAGTGATGAAGTCAGTATTTAGATTATGTTTTGGAAGAAAATGTGATAGAGATAATTTGAGGCACTCTGATACCAATTAGTTAAAAGGCAGAAATTACTGTGTTAAATATATTGTACATTGTTATTTCTGCTGTGTAATGAAATAAATTGCTTGTGTGGAAACACTAAAGTTATCTGTAGAAGATTGGAGACCTTTCAGGAAAGAAGATAGAAAACCAAAGAGGCAATTGTGTTGAAAGACAGATAAGCTTTTATGTGTTTTCAATTTCTGAATTGTGCAGAATAATAATGACTTTAGCATGCACAGCTGTTGCACTGTGTTGTATCAGGTAGTAAACCCTGCACAGGTCATGTAGAGTAGTGATTTAATTTTAGAACATTGATAATTTTGATAGATGTTTGTATTTATTCTTTTAATGGTAAATAATATTACTGTAATGTTTACTGTTAAATTTGAGTGACATCATACAATATACACATAATAATAGAAGTTTTGAGGAAAACAGACATGCAAGTATTTTTCTATTGGTTGCAAATCATCTAATTAAAATAACGGTGATAGTAAATTTTCAGATAGTATAGTTAATTGTATGTGTTTTATAAGCATATGGACATTAATAGTTGTTAAGCAGTGTGTGAGCAGAACTCTCAGTATCTCAAAATGTTTGCAGTGGCTCATAGCCTAAGATATTTTTAATACATTGTTAATTGTTTAATACTGCTTCACAATAACAATAGTTGCCTTACTACTTTACTCTGATCTCTGATTACCCGTTTTCATCGGGTCTTCAAGAGATTCACAATGTTCATTGTTCATACTACAATAGCATCTAGACATACTTTTCTCAGAAGTATAAACCGGAGTATCATTTTGTACAGTGAATTTTATAATAGGTTATGAGTCATTTACTGCAATGGAAATTCTTATTGACAATTGTATGGTCCAGAGAATTTATTGCCAAGTGCTTTCTTTGGTAATCGTTGGAGACCATTTTGGGGTTTTCTCAAGAATGATGTCAAGAATGGAATAGATGCTCCTCATGGCAAATTAAATATGATTTTTGGAGTTCACTTTCCATTTAAAGAAGAATAGCAAGTAGTGTGTGAATTGAGAAAAAAATTTAATTAATTATTTATGTTTCTACTATTTGAAAAGTAAAAAAACAATTGCTGTTCTTTTTTGGTTTTTCTTTCTCAACAAAGGCATAATAATCCAAATATAGAGTTTAAATTTTAAATAAGATTATCAATATTTAGAGAGTTACAGAAAGTTTATGTTCTTTCATTTCTAATAATTCATCCTTCAAAGTTTTCACAGTAGTGTAATGAATTACTGATATTTAATTAAAATGTTTTCTAAATTCATTTGCAAATATCTATATTCGCATTGTTTTGTGTAGTGTGAGTGATTGGTTTTCTGAATTTTATAATGTACATGGTTTGTATTGGGTTGTGTAAATGCAATGCATTTTTAATATTTACTTAATTGTAACTGAGGTGAAATGATAAAGAAATTAAACATTTGAAAAATGAATGTAAGAATGTTCAAAAGATGTGATTTAAATAGAGTGCATCATACTGAATCTCTCTTCTATTGTGGGATGCCGTAAATATTCTTGCAGGGAAGCAAATAAAGTTGTAACAAAATAACAGTAAATTATTTCAAATCTCCAACATTGTTCTTTGACTAGGTTTCCTTTAGTCTTCAATATTTTCTTAGAAATGACTTGGCCACTAAATTTTATTAAGACAACCAATAAATAGTATTTCATTTGGGTATTTTGTATAGTTTACTCAAATCTGAATGAGTTCATTATAATTTTACTGTATTTTAATATGATGTACATTTTGATAAGTTTGTGAATGTTTCATAGAATTAAATATTTGTAAATGTGGATTTGATTGAGTGATATTTTTGGCAGTCAAATTGCAGTAAGTTCTTTGTCTTTTAGTATTTTTTATTTTGCATTGTTTCCAGAATGAAAAAATTGTAACCTACATTTTGGAACATGGTCTTTTCAATTAATATTAAAGTTCAGAAGTTACAAAAGTAAGAAAGTGTAAAAATTGGGAAATCAACCTTTGAAGAAAGTTGATATTTCCACTTCGTATAGTTACCAGTTAGAAATGTGTTAATATAACCACTCAAAATTAACAATTGAGAACTTAAAAAATTTATGAATTTTTGACTGTCATTATATATATACTTGCTTTGTAAGGACTATAATGTTACAGTACAGGGAAAGTATGTTTGGTTCACATATTGAATCTGTGTTTTTGTACGCATGAGATATGGTCTTGAAGTCTATGGACTGAAAATAAGTTTTTTATGTTCTAATTTATTTATTTATTATTCAAAAGAGGTGATGCAAGTTGGAGAAGCAGCATGTATTGTGTTAATGGTTGTAGGTTTCTGTTCCTACACTTTTCACTTGTAAATGATTGTGAAACTCATAATCCTAAAACTGGTTTTCTTTGTCATAGGAATGTAATTTAATATTATGTGAAACTGTTTAGGCAAAAATTCATCTTGCTTTTTTGTGTAAGTAGCTCTTTGCTTAGTGTTCATTTTTAGCTCAAAAATGAACTCAGAGTAAATTTAAACTTACATCAACAAGAGCATGTGGTGCATCAATGAGACTTGTCCTTCAGTTAATTATATACTCAAATTGTATTATTATGTTGAAAGTATTGTGATTATTTTATTGCCTTCTGTAGAATTTAACTTTTCCTGAACATTATTCATTAAATTGTAAGGAACGTATTTTTAGTGTAATTTATGATCATCTCAAAATCCTCAAACTGCTTTATGATGTGCTAGATTAACTCCCTACATGGGTGGTATTGAAGTGCCCTTATGTATTTTTCTTTGCTGATATAAGTTGTAAGTTATTTGTCATTAATTATCATTAGGTGTGTCATTTAATGATTTCTGTATTTATAGTTGTAGTGCAATAAATTCTTTTATTTCTAATTTAATGGCATGCATTATAACCATGACATCTGGGGGTTGATGAACCTTCTTAGTTTTATTTTCTTTATTCTTTAGCCAATAATTTATTATTGGCATGTACAAATGTAATATTTGATTTTCATGTATTATTTTAAAGCTGTATTGGTGTGTTAACATCAAAGAAATCAAATGCTAAGTGTTTACAAATTCAATAATATCTCGAATGACTAACAAAAAAATGATTTTGATATAAAAAAATGTGAATTTTGAATTAGTGGGTATTGGGCCATTTAGACACAAAGTTATGAGAAAAATATATTAATTCAAACATGGAAGTATTTGTGTTAATAAAAGTCACTTGAAAAAGTTATATAGATGTAAAATTGAAGTTAATTTTATCGGCACTTGAAGCTGCTCTGCGAGATCAATGTAAACAGTTCTACCTTGTGTTAATGAAGTTTCTTTGTTTTCTCAAGAATAATGTTTTTTGAAATGACTGTAGCATGAGTGGGTAAATATAACTTCTTGGTGGGGGAAGGCAGCTTTATCCTGTAGGTTCCTTGTTGGTGTGCCAAGAGATTTTGCGCATGCTCTATGCTATGTGTCAAAACTCAGACCCAACACATTTGATCACGTGCTTCTGTTTATTTCCTTTGCCAAGTTTGAAGGAGCCAGGAGGAAGGAATGGTAGGGAAGTTAACAAAGAAGTGTTGATGACCCTTTGTGGCCAGCTACATAAGAGAATAATGTTGATGTTTGTGAAATTATTATCATGTTCTATGTAATAAATATACCAGAAGATTCCAAAATTGATCTTGAGATTTCTTTAATCCTTTTAGTTACTTTAAAAAATGTATATATTTTTGCAATTATCTATCTACTTTTGCTAACAAGCTGATAAGTTTTTTTTTCTTTTCAGTTTGTTAGTAGGTTTGTAGAGTGGAAAAAGTCTTTGTTGGAAGTTTAAGTATCAAGTTATTATTTGCAAGTAATTTGGACAAATAATAATTACTTGGAACATTTGTATATTTGTAATAATTCATTAGTGCAATAGTAAGTTATTGTATTTAAGTGTTCATAAGGCTCTTATTCATTATTCACCTTTTATGGCTTAAAATTTAATATGTGTCATGTTGGTAGTATTCATTTGTGACTAAGAAAAAAGTAGCCTCAAAAAAGCAAACAACCTGAGGCAGTGGAAGTGGAAGGACAGAGAAGGAGAAGTTGTGTAGGTTTGAGGAAGGGGAATGGGAAGCTTGCGTCGTTCTCGTGCATCTATAAATATAAAGTCAGCTGCGCAGAAGTCAGTTCACTGTTTCCAGTGTACCTACACACTTGTGTTTTGTGAAGCATATAGGAACATTTCTTGTGAAAGGATAACAGGTTTCAAAATTACTTTTGGATTTGAAGGTAAGTAATGTAATAGTTAATTGTATTTTGAATTTCATAGTTTTTAAGGTTTATGTGTTTGAAAAACAACCTCATGCCAGTTTTCTATTGTTTGAATTTACTGGGTTGACAATATTGCTCTGTAAGTAACATAATTATCCAGCAGTTATTATGAATGGCTTTTAAGATCATTAAAAACAATGCTTGTAAGTTGCATATTTATAAAATAAATAATGTTTGTCACCCTACAAATGACGTTCTGTAAAAAATAATATTTGAAATTACTTTTGAGAAATGACAATATTATTATTGTCTGTTAATTTTGAAAAATATCTGCTTAATTCTTTTTCTTCTTTTTTATTTTATTTTTTGATATCTCATTTTGTTATTTGGTATCACAGGTCATGTACTCCCCTATTAAGCATTATTAATGTATTAGCTAAGATCTACCAACAAGAAGGGATATACTTTAGTAGTTTAATTAGAAACCATTTTCCCTTATTCCTATAATAATAGATATATACTTATCCAAGAGGGAGAATAAAGTGATGCACTGCATCCTTTGTTCTTAAACTTGAAATGAAGCCAAGTAGCAAGTTCATGGAAACAACCAAGTGCTCACACAGCTGTTGGTGTGTTGAGGTTTTTTTGGGGGGGAGGGGGGAGTTACCTCCTGGTTGTTGACCTTGGAATCTATTTTAAGTTTAACCAGACGGCAAAGAAGGAAGTTTTAAAATAGATCTTTCACATACACAGTTCCAGTTGTGAACTGAGTATGTAAATTGAATTTAATACATATCACCTCTAATTATAATTTACTGTGTGTAAGGAGAGAATGTTGTTTAAAAATCCGAATTTTTAAAATGAGAACTAATTTAGTTAATGAATTTTTTCTGACTTGCATGAAGTCATTAGAGTATTTTTAAAGAAAAAAAAAAAAAAAGTTATCAAGAATCAATAATATTTGTTTATTCCATGGCTTTCAATTCTGAGAGGAATAGAATTATCATTGAACTACATAATGAATTGTGCATCATATAAATGATTGAAATAAAGGCAAATGGTTTTGATCATATAAGCTACAGATCTTTAATTTCTGTAATTTAACTAAGTAATATAAATTTATCTTCAGAAAATTAAGTTGATCTAATGCCATTAAATGATAGGGGGGGATTATCAAGTTATATTAATCTTCTTTTGTTGATGTTGCAGTGACCTTCAAGAAATAAAAATGCCGACTGAATGCATAACTAATCCACTTCAGCGAGAATTGGCAGATAGTATTATCAGAATGGTCCCACTAGATGAAATACGTATTCTCTTGGCATGTGGTGCTAAAGTCAATGAACCTGTCACTCAAGGCTTACGTCCCCTTCATTATGCTATTTGGCAACGATATGCAGAGGCTGCTCGCCTCTTATTAGTGAGAGGTGGAGATGTGAATGCGAGAGATGAATGTGGTTATTCTGCTCTGCACCTTGCATCTGAGCATGGGTATGGAGGACTATTATTTACAAAACATGTATTACACATTTAAGGAGAGCAAAAATTTCCATGTTGATTAGACAATATGTGCTCCTATAAATTTCATGCAAAATCTCATTTTAATCCTGTAATATTGGAGGTATATTATATTTTGGCATTTTAAGAATTACAGGTTTTATATTTCATTCTTGAAACAATTTAGATAATCATTGATATCTATTTTAAAGAAAGTACTATTTTTGGAATGTACCTTCTGCTCCGTTTGAATTTGATGTTTTTATATAATGATTCTTACTGTAGGTATGTGGAGTTAGTAACTCTCTTGTTACACCAAGGGGCTCGAGTTGATTATCGGGAAGATACTGATGATCCATTTCCACGAACAACTCTTTGTGATGAACCTCTGCGTTTAGCAATTCGAAATCGACATGCGGAAGTTGCTCGCCTTCTTCTTGAACATGGTGCAGATCCAAATAAAAGATATTTTTTTGGTTCTGAAATCAACCTTGTATCTCCTCTTGATTTGGAATTCATGCAATTACTGCTAACTTTTGGAGCAAATCCAGACACGAGAGATCGAGCTGGATTGACACCACTGATGAAGGCTGCTCGTCTTCCACAGGTGTGATGCGATACATTTGAAAAATTATACTGAAAGTAAATTCCACAAGAAAGTCCTTGAAGTTGGTTCTAAATTGTAACTAAAATTTAAGATTTAAAATTTAGTTTTCATTTCATTTGACTTGGAGTAGAGTCTATTCTTTTAGGTAAGTTCTGAATTCTTCTAAGAATAATTTATAAAGTAAGTTTGTTAAAAGCATGTATTTCAGAACAAATAAAAACTAAAACTTTTGTAAAAGTTCAATTTCACAGAGTTCACAAATTATCTTTGAACATTTTAAATTATTTAATATTACAAATAAAATTGAATTCTTTATGTGAAACTAATATCAATAATCTTTCATTGTTAGAATTCTGGAAAGTAATTTATTTTCCATTTTTGTGCATTTCAATTGTATTATGGTAGTTGGGAATAATTTTATCATCACATGGAAAATATTTAAAAAATTAATCATTGTAAACAAAGTAATTTTTTATTATTGTTTGTTATTTTGCCAGGGAATGGATTCTGTTTTGTTACTGTTATCGTTTGGAGCTGATGTAAATGCCATGACAGATGCACGTCATGATTATCGAACTGTTCTTCATTATGCTGTTCTCTCGGGCAATCTTGATACTATTAACCTTCTTCTAAAGCAAGGGGCAAAGGTGAATTTTTCAAGTGACTATCAGAAACCAACACCTTTGGATTTAGCAATTTTGAAAGGCGATCCTGAACTTGTGAAGTTACTATTAAATGCAGGTATGCTTCTCAAAAAAAATTATAATTTTGTTGTTTGTAATAATAACAATTGTTCCCAATTTCATTATCTTCAATTTTAGGGGCAAATGTTAACTCAAGTTCGCCAATAATTGGCACACCTCTTCATGTAGTGTGTGCAGATAATATTCCGAACCGTATGGAACTCCTACACTTATTGCTTTCAAATGGGGCTGACCCTAACCTTGTGATTGAAAGTGATGAAGGTCCTCCACTTCGTCCAGTCCTTGCAGAATACATAGCATCTAATGAAGAACCTTGTCCAGCAGTTGTGAATATGCTCTTGAGATATGGAGCTAAGGTAATTAAGTTATTTAATAAAATTAGAGTTTGTTATGGAAATACTGTAGATTATTTTTTCTTTATTCTTTACTTTATTTCATTTTCTTTTTTGATGCTTGTTTGCAAAAGCTTTTCCTATGTTTTTTTGTGTATTGTTTTTGTTCTTTTTCATATGATGTTTTAAATAGCAAGACGAAGTGTGGTTAATGAATTTATTAATATTCTTCCGTATTAAGGTGTTAAATCACAATATAAAAAATGGTAATTACAGTTGTTTTCGTTACTTGTCACAGGTGGTAATGAAAACTCAGTTTCGTGACCCACATGGAATTCTCAATTCACTTCAGAATTTAGCAAAGTTTCCTTCTCTCTTCGTTAGTCTTGTTGGAGCGGCTGAAAGTTTTGATTTGTGTATGATAAGAAGATCATCTGCTCTGAATCAAGACCAAAAAGATATATTAGTGGAACTTGCAAAACAACCTTTGTCATTGCAACATCAAGCACGATTGTTTATTAGACGTTTCTTAGGCAAGAAAGGCCCTTTAATAATCCCTCAACTTCCTATTCCAGTTATCCTCCATCAGTATTTGATGTACAATTTTAGTTAAATGGTATTCCACAATGTCTTTTTTTAATGAAATTTTTTTTGTGTGTAATATTTAGAAAATTCAATTTTCTTATTTTGACTATTAAAAGAGCAGGTCTCATGTATCTGTTTTATTTTATGGAAGTCATGCTAGTCAGTATTTAGAAACCATGCATCGTATTATCTTACCTTGGTAAATTATTAAAAATGTTTCTAAAAATTTTTTACTTTGTCCTTTCTAAAAATCAACATTTTTGAATATGGAAAATTTATTATTGTCAGAACATCTTTGCTCTCTGTTCATTATAGTAGAAATGATGGTTTATGGGAGAATACAACTGGCTGTGTATGGTGATTTGTAAACATAGTTTTTTACACATTTTAGCAAATATGTTTATATATGTATATGTTTGTGTGAAAACTATTTTTATACCTTTGTAAAAGCAATGAGTGTTATTAAAGCAACTTGAATGAAATGTTTCTTTGTGATCATTCTGTTATTAATGCATCTTTCTAGGTTTGTACACATGAAACAAAGAAATCTGAAAACATATTGCATTGTACAAACTTACCATACCTAACTTCTTTGATTCTTTGCAAAGTCATCTTTTATTTTATTACAGTTATATAATAGATAACTGAACTTATTCTGCATATTCTGTTGAATAATGCACACAACTGTGAAAATGCCTAATTTCATCCCATTTAATTGGTTTCTTAATTGTGAAACCAACGGAATACAGCTAGGAGAGGTCAAGTATTCAACTAGCAAAAAAATATATTTTCCACACCGAGACTCGAACTGAGGGCCTCGTTAATTCTCCGTCACGCATACCACTACCCTGCAGAAGAGTCGAAGTACGGACTTGGGCCGAGATTTAAAAATGCAGTTGTCCCAACATTTTTCCAACACGCAATTTTTGCTATTGTCGAATAATTCGCAAAAAATGGAACCAGCACTTATATTTTTACTTCTTCGCCCTTATGAAGATATTTCGTTAGAAGATAAGTCCTTTCTCGCCTTTACGAATACACTTCTTAAGAGGTTACGGAAAACTGCAGAAAACACTTGCTGGGCCCTGGTAACGAAAACCTGGTTAAATCTGCCCCCCGCCCCACCCACCCCAAAAAAATCATATTTAGAGATGTTTATGTTCACAATAGTTTACCCATATAGTCATAGAGTTAAAATGCAGGTGAGGAACCCATCTTTTGTATTCATCTTTGGAAAACTAACCACGTCCAACCTTTTCTATTACGGCGAAAAAATGCCATCAGGTTATTAACATTTTTGACTGTTTTTGTACAAATATAACATGGGTTAAAATAAAAGATTTAGCCCAAGTGAATACTGAAAACAATTGCTTTTCTTTATGTTGCTTACATTCTCATAATTATTGTCAAAATTCGCTTACATTTTCATAATTATTGTCAAAATTCGCTTACATTTTCGATTTTTAAAAGAAATTTGCATTTTATGTTTTATTTACTTTTCTGCCAAATTATATCTGTAATTTAATTTCTTGAAATTTTCGACTCCCACAGCTCAATTAGCAACCTCCACCCCCTCCCCCAAGTACCAAAGAACATTCCAATTAAACAACTGCTTCACGTGTAAACCAGCGTTTTGAGGTCTGGCATCACTGTAAGTTGGCTCAACACTTCTACACACTACACAATTTGTCTGGTAGTAAGGTGGGAGAATCGGTGATCTTGTGGTCAAACAACCCTCTGAAAAAAATTTCCGTTGGGCAACTAGCCTTCGCACGATGTGTCGGTGTGTTGGCCGATCGCCCCTACGCATTTGTACGTGTGTACGGGCCTTTATTATGCACTAAGAATTTGGTGAAGGCCGTTCATTTCCTTAACTTTTAGAGGGGTCTCGAAAAATTGTTTATTTTTTCAACTCCCGCTTAAAGTGTTGATCATAAACGCGTTAGTGAGGTGTGGTCCACGAGAGGGTATGGGGGGGAGAGACATCAGTGCCGTCCGGTACCGTCTCTAGTTACTAGAGATGGCACTGGACACACTCGTTAAGTCGATGGTGGCGCTCCCGGTGGATGAGGGAATTGTTTACTCCTGGTTTACTCGTCCACCCTCCTACCGTGGAGGTGGCGTACGTGTGGGATGATTCGGATTAGATCGAGCAGATCGAGTGTGATGTTATGGAAGGCGAATGAGATGCGTTGCCGGTGTTCTTGAATGCCTTGGGTGGTACATTTAGGGTAAAGAACGAAATTTGTATTCTTGGGAACATCTTGCTGTAGTGTTTTGGATTATAAAATTTAGAAGTATTGTAAAGTACAATTGTGACAACACGCCATGGCATCATATTCTGAAGATCGCTCTTATGTTGTACAAATGTTGGAAGATCTTCGTTCAGTACCTCAGCGTCGTGTATCGAGGTTGCTTTCAAGCAACTTTAATGAGCCTGTTGATAACCTGAAGAGAAAGAAGTCTACGGAAAACATTGCAGATGATTCTCCAAAGTTTCCGAAATTGGATGTCACTCCTAAAACAACTCCAGGTTAGAAATTGGAAGCTCATTTTGATTTTAATCCTTGCACCATTACGTGTATTTGGTTTCAACGATTATTTCTTTCCGTTGTGGCAGATCCTGAAGAAAGAAGTAACAGGTGCTCTTCTCCAACAGGTATATTCAGGATTTCACTTGAATTGGTTTTAAAGTAATTGATTCATAGTTTAATTACAATACCTTTAAATATCTTTGTAGCCTCACCGTGGGAGACATATCGTATCCGCAGCAGTTTATTGGAAGCTAATATTAAAATAACAGACTTGGAAAATCAAATCAGTAGACATCACTCACTTCGACAGGAATTGGAGTTGCTTTTTGAAAAAGAAAAGGATTCGTTGCTAAAGCAAGTTGACAGAGAAAAAACAATGGTAAGTCATTTTCATTGAGAGTATATATTATCTTCATTATGTTAAAACAAATTTTCTCTATTGTGCAATTTAGTGTATTTTTAAGTCCTCTTGTGATTGGAGTTTACAAGGTCTCAGTATGTTCACATAGAGGCAAGAGGAATAATAGAAAATTTTCGAAAAATTGTAATGTCATTAGTAGTGACCTGTACTGATGGTACTATTAATCTCTAAAGTTGGTAGGCAAAATGGAACTTAAAATGTGCTAAAATACATGAAGGAAAAATAAAATCTATTCTTTTTAAATCTAAATTTACAATAAAAGTTTAACACAATGATATAGGATTTGAATTTCACAACAGTTCTAACCAGAATAAGAAAAAAATGTAGATGAATGCTGGCATTAATTTCATTAGATACATGTCTAGTTTCCATACAATTGTGGTTGCATCCTAATACAACTCTGTTTCTGAAGTTTTCTATGGTTAAATTGTGTCTTGTGTCAGACAAAAGTTCAATATCTCAACATCGACAGAGGTTACTGTAGTTAATATTAAACACAATATATCATAGAGATCAATTTCTACACCGTCTAGAACTTTCAAAATATCTTAGAATCCTGGTGGTGGCGATTTATTTAGTGTCCTTTGGCAGATCATCAGCTGTTATGATGTCATCCAATTAGGACCTTAACGTCACTACTGTAGGTGTCTGCCAAGTTCCTGCTTGGAAGACACCATGACAGCTGATTTACATCAACAGACACCATGTTTAAATCAAAGTATAGTATTAGCGGTAGTAGTGTAGTAGTAAACAGCTGCTGAAATACATGTTCCCTGTCTTATGAAGTCAGATTGACGAGGTAGGAGCAGATCTAGAACAGTATCTCAGAATATTTGGGTTGTTGAAGGTTGACATTTTGAAAATATCAACAAAAAAATTAACCATCAGTTTGTTTGCCTCAGGAAATAAACATCTCATTTCTTCTGCCACTCTGAAAGGTGTGAGCTACTAAAGTTGCATGAAGTGTAGATGGAAACGCTTTTAAAGCTTTTGCTGCTTGGCTCACACATGGTGCTGCATCAGTTAAAAATGTTCTACATTTTCATTTTGAATGTTATAGACCCATATTAACTTCAGTAAATTTGTGAATAACTGCTGTAGTTGAATTACTGACTTCATTTAGGCTTGAGGATCTTTTACATGCAGTAAATCTACTAACATGGGACAGCCGACACAGTGCTTCTTCTCAAGTTGACTTGTGCACTTTTGCAACCCAAATTTCACGCATATATCATTGCTGAATTCATATACTCATCAGGTGTCATTACTGAAAGCATTTGAGAGGGACTTGTTTCATTCATACAATACAATTAAGTTCATCCATGAAAAACAAATATGTTACTACCCTTCCATCACTATGGAGCTTGTAATTTAAGTCAGCTTGCGAGAATTGTTTTGCTAATAGGATCAAACTAATGCAAACCGTAAGGGGATAATGAATGTCTTTGAAATGCCCCTCTGCTAATGTGAATGTTTCTTGTTTCTGCATCTTATTGACTGCCATGTGAAAGTAACTGATACTCTTAAGACTTCCTATAAAACTTACTTAAGTCTGGAATGAAATCTTTAGGTTTCCAGTATCCAGTTGTGTATACTACTCTGTCAATGGCCTTCTAGTAGTGAATCCAAGCCATGTTTTCAATCACTTGGGTTAGAATCTGTGAGAATTCCTATAGATGTGTGACTATTTCCACTATTTAATCTGTGGCATCAACTTCTGATTGTAGCCAAAATGCATCATTGTCACCTACCAATAATTAGTTTTGTAATTTACCAGTAATTATAGCGAAAATTAAAGGATGCTTATAGTGCCTTCATCTTCATAATTATTTGTTGTTGTTGAAAGTGTATTTTTTCTCTCTAATAACTCACAACACACTGTTTTTTACCTATTTCAGGTAAAAGAATTAGAAAATCATTTACAGGTAGTACGTAAAAGGGAGGTTGAGGTAAAGGAAGAGTTGAAACAATGCAGAACAGCGTTAAATAGAGACAAAACAAATTTTGAAGAACGTTTCCAAACTCTTCAGGTAGAGAATGGAAAATTGACTGACAGTTTGCGTGAGGTGAGTTCGTTTTCATATGGATTTAATTGCGAATGAAACCAGAATAGTCTACCTACATATGTCTTCATAATAATAATAATTGTCTTATTAGATTGTAACTTCAAGTTTTATGAATATTTACATATTGATCATCTATGATAATGTAGGTTCATGCATTTAACTCTGGAACGTGTACGTTGACATAATGATGAAGTGTTGATCAGGAGAACCCATTATTCAAAAGTTAGGTTCTTTTTCTATAATTTGATTACTGGCTATTAGTATTGGTTGAAAATATTAAATTGTGCTATCTGAAATTGCACTAATTTGAAAGGCAATTTTTTAAATTTAAAAAAACCTTATGAAATGTATAATGTGTTCCTCTGTACAAGGTAGAATATTATGCATGTTACTGCATTTTATTATTTTTCAATTATTGCTGCTTTCCAATGATGTATCTTAAGAGGACATAAATGCTCCTTAGATATTTAAAAAGAGTATGATTCACTAGGCTGTCTTTGGTGTTCATAACTTCAAACTTTTCATTTCAATTACTTCTTTAGAGGTAGAACTTTCTTTCAGATGCTCCCGGCCCATTTTAGGACCTGATGTATGACATTCTGTGTGGACAGTGCTTGTGTATAGTAATTTTGAACACAAATTAATTTTCATTTTACACATTTATTTTACATTTTTTTTTACATACTTTGGAACAAATAAATTCGTACACACGTATTTAGCTTTTTTTAAAATTTCGATACATTCCTTTCCCTACTAATATTATTTCTATTTCATTTTAAAGTTAGAGGAGAACTTGCATAGTGAGAGATTAACAACAGCAAGACTTATTCAGCGTTTGAATGAAGATTTGTCTGAAAGAGACCAACAATTAATAGATATCAAAAATCGCAATTCAGAACTGGAAAAGAAACTGCAAGAAGGATTATTATTTCAGTCACAGTTTGAGCAGTTATCTCAAGAATTAAAAAATGCCCAAAATAAAATAAAGGTACTTCACAAGAGTTTATATTAATTAATATTTGCATCCTGATGAGAAAGAAATCTAATTTTTGTTTGTTTGAATTTAGGAATTAGAAAAAGAACGAGATGATTACCACGAGGCAGCTGAACTAGTAAAGTCAAAACAAGAGAAAGTGTTTCGTTATTCAGAGTTAGAAAAGGAGGTTCAAGTGTTAAGGGAAGAAAATTCTAATTTAAAGTGAGTAAATTTTGATGTTTTTCTTCTGTATAAACCCTGCCTCTGAATTGGTATTAACAATACAATGAAATCTTTGTATTGTGAAATAGTCTATCTTAAGGCTATTTTACCTGTATTTCTAATTGAATATTTCAATTTTTATTTATTTGAGTTTTTAAATTGCTACATTTTATAGGATATTATCTGTTGTGGCATATGTTTTTTCTTGGAATTCTCATCTAAGACCATTGTTGAATCAATTAATCCCTGAAAAGTAGTGAGATTCATTAACTGTTCACCAATTTTCTTAATTTAAGAGATAACGCACAGTAATCTGTGGTACAATTTGACAAGAGATTTGAGTGGTCGTTTTTAACCCTTTTCCCATGCTAGGTGGTATTGTGACATATCCGGGCAAGCAGTGTCCATCAGACTCTGCTGTATAATCTTTGTTTTCCTCTATTCTTATCTTCAACTTTTGCACACTATTGTTTTAATTGCTGTAGGGTTTGAATATAATGATGCCTTCATTATCGTAAAAACACACAAGAAGGGATATTGGAGTATAGCATATTTTACGAAAACACAACGCACATTGAGCAAGTTTAAACTTTTCTTCACAATAAATTCACATATTTTGATTAAATTAATATATTATTCACTTTTTCAAAAACAAATTACATCACTGTACTCATTGTTGACTGACTGGTGACATTTGCTGCAACATCATTTCTGAGTGTGACCTCATGTGCTGAGACACAAGTGACATTCCTTTTTCCCTCATTTTGAGCACAGTGTGGAACTACTTATCTGGGAAGATGCAGTAGCATTTAGTTTTGCCAAACTTCTTTTAGGCCTAAAAGTGACTTTTGCTGGAATCCCATAGTATTTCAATAAGTGGTTGAATAAGTTCTCTGATATCTCATGCTAGAATAAATATTGAACACAATGTTTCCGCATATTCCATGTTGCTTGCATATATGACCAGATGACAAATGCTGCCATTCAGCAACATCCAGACAGTCCATAAACAACATGAAGGGCCTGGTTTTTCATTCACAGAGTATGAGTGTATGAGCTGATCCAGTGCAATAACTCCCCCTTTTGTGGAATTATGCTGAAGTATTGTTTCCATTTTATTACCTTGGGACTTCTGTGCAAGTAAAAAGAATCTGGTGCATTGTGAAAAGAATTATTGCTTTGTTTGGCTTCAAAACATACAGTACCAGAGATTTCCTTTACTTTTGTGGACCTGGAATTTTTGAGAAATGAATCTATTGTCCTTTCGAACAGTTCCATCAAGAGTGATACCATTGTCCTGAAGATATTCTGTGAGGGCCTTGACCATGAAGTAATAGTCACATATGGCATTCTTTTGAGTTCTTTGATAAAGTTCAGAGAGAGTTTGAACTACTCTGCCACTCAAACCTGGAAGCGCTCAGTCACTTTTTTCGTTCCTGGAATATGGTAGGCCATTTAGAGGATAGGAAATTCACATATCATACTTCATGGTTTTGATGGTATGTACAATTTGAATGGTTGTCGGCCCTGGAATGGAATTAGCATTTCATTGACAATAATGTTTGTTCAAGGTTGGTAATGAGTTTCCAAATCTCCATTGAATTTTTCTTACATGTCCCTGTAAGCGGCAAACTTATCATTCCGACGTCTTGCAGACCACATGATTGTGACATCAAATTGTAGAAAGGAAAGTAAGCTCTTGAAACATTTGGGTCCCATTGTTGCTGTTTGCACATATCCCCAGCATGCTTGTAACGGAGCTGACTCTCCTTCATACAGGCCTCATGGTTGTGACAAAATGGAAATTGCCAAAAGTCATCTCTTACCAGAGAAACACATTAGTGTCTTTAAGACACTACTTACCCGGTTACATTGTTTTAAAATGAAATAAATATTATCATTACTGTTTATTGAGAAAATTTAGTGAAACTTTGTACATAAGAGCTTCTATATAAGAGAAACAATCATGATAGCACACATACAGGAACCTTTTAGTTTCATTTATATAACAGAAAATGTCTGACACATACACACCGGTTGCCTAGACAAGTGATATCCATATACTTGATGTTAGAAAATATTTTAAATGTGCTAAAATTCTACTTTAAGAACTTGATAGAATTAGTGATTTGAAAATCTCAGAAATTGTTTTGATAAAAGTGCCTTCTACTGTGTCGTGTGTGAAATATAGAGAAACATAGTGGGCTTAGTATTATAATGCTGCAAAATTGCTGTGAAATTTTGTATGGAAATGCACATTTTTGGAGGTACCCAATACTGCAAAAGGAGGTAAAACAGATAAGGTGAGGTAAAACCCATAATTTGCACCAGTATTTTTTAAATTATTGCTGCTCAAACATATTCTGGATATCAGTTTCCATTGTTTTTGCAACGTGTGTCAAATGTTCTGTGACAATTAGCTTGTAGGTAGAGTGCATTTGCAATTTATATATATCAAGGGTTAAATAGTCTAGAATTCTGAATACCCGTCAACCCGCTCGCTAACCTGTTTCAGAAACCTGCGGGTCAAACCCACACTCATTCATAAGGGTAGTCGTACAAAGTGGGTCACGGGTATGCATGACTATGTTGCTTGATTTATGTAAATCATTGTATTTTATATTTTGAAATAGTAAAATATTTATTTATAATATTTAAATAAATGAAAAATAAAAGAAATAAATTGATCTAAATTGTTATTTCTATTTAAGCAATCGCGCAATTTCTTTTCAAAAAGAACGAATAACAGAAAAGGGTAAAAACATGAAAAAGGACCTGGAGACAAAAAGACTGCCGCATATTCTCTCGTTCTCGTAAGCGAGAAAGGCTGAAGGAGAGTGGGGTTCGCGAGAATCTCTTGCATCGAGAACGCGACGTTTTCGAGAACAAGGCGACTCCATATTCTAACCAGGGCCTCAGACAAAGGGAAACGCAAACGGTCTTCGTACCATAGCTGGACAACTTTAAAAGAAAAAGGAAAAAAAGAAGAAGAAGAAAAAAAACAACAACTCATCATGGTATCGCTTTCCTCAGGAAGTACTGTTTCCCTGTACTCCCGAGCTCAGTTTAACTCGAGGACCGCCTGCAAAGGATAACTGATTCGCTCTTGCAACTTTGTTCTTAAGCTACGAGAGACATAGCCTCGTCCACCCTTGCGTGGATTTCCTGACCCTCCTTCATAATGTTCTTGATTCCGAAACACCTGCCACATCCCTGGACCATTTTACAACGTTCGCATTTGTTATACTGTGTGCGATTTCCTTGTGCCGAAAGTACTGTGTCTCTCGATACACTATCTCACGAGGCTCGCTTCTCAACGGCCTCCCTGATACACTCGCGGACGTCGAAGCCGAAGCCATATCAACAGAAATGTAAAAACTCGAAAACGACGCGAAGCAACAAAACTGAAATCCACACATGCGCGCAGCAGGAAGCACTCACAAACTGCCTCCCTTCCGAACGAGAAAAATTCTAAAGCAATAGCTCTTTGTGGCAAAAGTACGTGAAGATAAGGGAAGGGATTCATTTCTCTCGATACGGCATTTCTCATACCCAAAAGTCGTTCGACCTTTGACCATTCGTCCGAACCCAGGCGGCGACGGCGTCTCGACAGGTGGGGAAGTTGGCCCGCGAAGAGCGAACCCTCCCCCTCCGCCACTTTTCGCCCATGCGCAGTCCAGGTTTGTTTCTAAGTTGTCAACCTAGATATCAACTCGTTCTAGTGAGTGTTTACATGACAATGTTCTTTATAGACCGGTTTTGAACAGGTGCTACACGAGTCTTTTGCTTTCTTGTCTCTATACCGCTTATGCAGTAGAAAGAAAATTATGCAATGTTTTGGGGAAAAGCGGCGATTTTCGGAACAAGTCTTATAGCTGGACCCTATTAACGAAAAAGTGGATAATTATTCCATTTGTCAAATTAAGACATCTAATACATGTAGCCAGAATCCATGTTTTGTGCACCCTTGATTCTGAAAGACTGATAGACAGCGATATGTCTGTCAGTCTGTAAACAATGCTTGCAGCTAAAGCATTGAGGTGATTTTCTCCAAAATTGATATTCCCCAATTGATCAGGCTTCTCTTGTGGCCTCTTGAATTTCAAACCCATGTTTTAATTTTGAAGGTCCTTTGCATGAAGCTCTGGGACATTTTCAAAATAAAAATGGCTCCAACATTTTCAATTAAACTTTGTTGTTGGATAGAATGAAGGATGTTTAAGAGAATGGTGCAGGTCTCATTTCCATTAAAAAACGTGGTGTTTCAAAAATTGCAGAAGTTCAAAAATTTTTCATCTTCCTACAACTACAGTTATGGAAATACATATTTTTTTCTTAACAAAATGTGTTCGTCAAAAACATCTTCAAATAATCGCACAGCAGTTACTTTTTTTTTTTAAAAAAAGAAAAAAGTACATTTGTTTAAATTTTGTGTCAAACAGGAAATTTTTATTTTCTTTAAACTATTTTTTCTCAAAAACTGCACCACATTTTTTTTTATTCAATATAAAACATAGATGGCATGAAGGATGTTTATGAGAATGGTTCAGGTCTTATGATTGTTCCCTAATTTTTCGCGGAGGGGGGGGGGAAGAAAATTTTATATTTTTATACAATGACAATTTTGAAGATATTATTATTGTTATTATTATTTATGACAATTATTAACGACAATTGTTTTTCTTAATGAAATGTGTTCATCATAAACAAATCTTGAAACGTCATGTTGAATTTGTTGAAAATATTGATCTTTTTTGTGTAATTTGGCGTCAAACATAGTCAAACATAGTTTCGAATTTCCTGCGCTTAGTGAATGTAATTTAAAAGGTACTTCAAGGCAGTTTGATGCTTTGCAAGTTAGAATTTGTAAATTATTTCGTATTCCTTTGTTTGTTTCTTACATTTGAGCTTTTGTTATACATTTACAAATTAATCTTTTAGAAATTATTTAAAATTTATTTTATTACTCACATTTCTTTTAGTGTTAAGAGGAGTATACTTTCATTCTCAATGTATTGATGTATTTTCTTTTAAGCAATCCGCAAACCTTCATTGAAATTAGCCCAGTTCAGTTTTCTGTCTCAAAAATAAGATTTAAATATGATATGAAAGAAAAATTGCTTGCCTTTAGGAAATATCAGATTGGAATGCAACAATGGCATTTTGGCCCACTCAACAGCAACTGTAGTTTTGTGAATTATGCCTTATTGTTGGGACATGATTTAGTTGTATGAAATGCAGTGGTTATTGTTGAATTTGTGTTGATATTTGCTTCAAAATATGTGGTTTTCGCCCCAAATGTTCTATGATTTGTAATGAATTTTACAAAAACTGATGACTGAGACTGTGTGAATTCAGAGAGAAATTACGGTATAACTAGTACAGAAAATCTAAGTCAAATCTATCGGGACAAAATAATTCTGGTTTAGGGATATTTTTATTTTATGCAAGGTTGTCTGTTTTATGACTTGAGATATTCATGTTTCTGCCCTAAAAGTAGTAAATTACATGACATTATTATAATTAACAAAGTTCATTAACATATAACATATTAATAGAAGAAATCACCAATAAATGAATAGTAAATGTTCATTAAGAGCTTCTGAGTGGAAAAATACACTCATTACTGATTGTATTCAGACTGCCTGCTGACTCTTTAAACATATAATGCACCACAATCCAGTGCTATGACTTTCTGATACTCTTGCATGGCCTTGAGAAATGTGTATCTGGTCGAGGGGAAATGATTTTCAACGTAGGACAGTGAGACATGAGTAGAAGCCATGCCTGTTCACCATTCCATGCTCAGAGAGTCGGGAGAGAGGGAAGTCCCCTACAGCCTTCACATTGAGAGACAAGTGACCCCAAGGTTGAATTATGCACTGACAGCTGAAGCCCTTCTCCTTCAATGTCTGGCTGCCACGACTATATAGTGTGTTATGGGGATAGATAATTTCAAGCAAGCCTGCAGATGCATTCATTTCATTAAGAACGTCTTGTATCTCTCTGCCAATCGCATGAAAGTCACAGTAATTCCATTTTATAAAGATTTCTTTTCCCCTGTAGGACATTAAAAACGGTTCCATTTCCACATTGGAGAGGTTGCATTTTATGTTGTGTAAAATGTTCTTTAACTTCATGGAACTGGTAACGGTTCTGGGAACTTTACCAGTTAAGGCCGGTTTTTGGCTTGTACAGGTTCCCGTTTAGACTGATTTTACTGTATTACATAACCATTACTATGGACAAGAAAGTATGTACTGCTTTAGCATTACTAGTTGGCGTCTCTTAGATTTGATGAAATGTAAAAACAGCACAGTTGACAAACAAGTAGTTATGCTGGCCTTTTTGACTTTGTGTTATAAATGTGTAATGAATCAAATTGTCTACAGCCTCAACTGCAAACAATTATTATTACAATGCATTGTTCTATTGGACTGTAGTATGATTACTTTCTGATAAATGAGGTTACTCAGGTTAGCATTCATTTGTCCCATGCTCACAAATAGTCCCAAAACATTCTCTTTGTTGAATCAAAAACACAAAATGCTGGCAGATTATGAAATCTGGATCCATTGGACTCTGTTTGCCTGAGAAAGGCTGGAAAATTAAAATGTTTTTATGTTATTTAGTAACTCGCAGAATAATTAAAGGAACACATGAATACAAAGGGGGCAAAATCACAAAAAAATATTCTTATACCTTCCATAGAATATGTGTAAAATATGGAAAATTGTGCTTCAGAGTCCAGGCACCTTGGTTACCTGTATGTGGATTAAAATATGCTGAGATGATAATGAATTACTAGCGATGTTTGATTCTTTAAATTGAATTTTTTTCTAATAAAAGTTTTAATGTGTTTGGCATTCTGTTGCGAGTCATACTGCTTATTGTCCTGGAATTGTTTTAGTAGATTTTTTTTCTTCTTATTTTAGCTTTTGATGCTTATTTTTGGTATTTTGCCTTATTGTGCCTTTTCTTCCTTATTTGTGGCCTTTTCTACCTTTTTCGTAATTATTTTCCATTTTTACCCTTCTGTCACTAATCTCTCTTAACATACTTGAAAACGTGCCTGCTGTCCTGAACAACATGAAGGCTGGTTGCGTTTTGTCTTTCTGTGGACACAAAGTCTCGTGTCAGGTTGTGTTAAAAATCTGAAAGGGAAAAGAAGATAACAATGAAGATTTTTGATATTTTTTTATTGATGCTTACAGACTTGTTTTGTCAGGTGAAATCTCTTCTTATGTGAATGGCCTCAGATCTCTTTTGAGGACAGAGCTGTCGGTACATGATACACCCTTCTGAGTTCCTTGTCTCTTCCCTTCTGGCGATTGATGAAAAATTAAATCTACAGACTGTTTTCACCGCTACCGTTTCAAGATTTACAAGGGAGACCACAATAGTAATTTGTAGAGAAGTGGTCACGAGTTAAATGAATTTGTAGTTGTCAACTGGATGGTCAATTACGATCAAGCTTACAAAGAAAGGATAGTTTCCTTCCACGTTAGTGTTAATGTAAATTTTAGTGTTAAAATAAAAATGTGAATTATTTGATTATAAATTTTTTACACTAATTACTTTTAAATGTTTTTTTTAATATGTCCTGTGCTTTGCCCCATACTTTTGCCAAAATAAATGCCTGTTTTGCATGCCTATTTTAGGTGAAATAAATGCCTGAACTTCCGGGCTCTACTCATTATGTATGAGCAAATAACGTGAAACGTGTGGTGTGCATTGCTCTACCCAAGCAACATTGTTTCACAGGAATGTCCGAGATGTGTTGTAGCACTAATTTTGTTGATTTACGTGAAATTTTCAGAATAGCAGTTCCTAAACATCTTTTATTGGAGGAAATGGTGGAAGATCTTAAATCAAGACAAGCTCTCTCAGAAGAACAAGCACACGACCTTGCTTGGTCCCAGGGTCGCTTAAACCAGGTTCAAACTATGTTAGATGATTGGAATAAAGTTGCTAAGGATTATTGTGAAGGATATATGTCATCGTCTCATCCTCCTGATCCTGCAATTATTAGGAAACGGTTCAATGAACTTCAACAGAGGGTTCATGTATTGACTGCTGATTTATCTGATGTCAAATCACAGTAAGTAAATCTTCATCTTTTGTGTGAATTTGTATCAATAGGTAGCATTTACTTGAAAAATTGTCACTTTAATTAGCCTGTTATTAATACTTTTAAGACAACTTGAAGGTGAGGAGTCAATGAATAACAAAAGGCACAATTTTATCCGTATTTATCGTTCCTTCATTTTTCAGGGCTCATCATGATTTGCTAATCATGATTCCCTCATCTTCAAGATGTCTTTAAAGGTAGCATTTACTTTGTGTAACATTAGTGTGCCTAAGGATGTTATTTTGATCCTAGTGGCTTCATTTTGCAATATATTTCTATTTTTTGTTTTGAATTGCACAATATTTTAGTTGCTTTTAGATGATTTTCTGTAGGAGTAGGAATTTTTTTGGGTAACAATTATTTACATCTTAACTAGTATTTTAACAATTCACAATGGTGTTACAAGCTAACAACCCCTAATGCGTAATTGAAATATCACATTCTCTAAAACATCCTACACGGTCATACCCAACCCATTATGGCTCAAATTATGAGTCGGCTTCCTTCATTATGACATGCACACCATACGGAGGCTAAGTTTGTTTTCTCAGTAAAATGTGTAAGGGTTCAACAGACCACCTTTTTTTTTTTTTTAGATCCGTAAAAAACTATAATTATACTTGTCATTGGACACTTACAGTCTCTGATAGTCATTTTTCCTGTTCGTGTTTGATATTCAATTATTAATCTGTAGCCCGATTGCTGCAATTGTTCTTCTTGAAAATACAATTTACGTAAAATATTGAAATTTTATTTCCTATATTATTAATAGCATTATTGTCGTTTATGTTATTGTTATTATTATTATTATTATTATTATTATTATTATTATTATTATTATTATTTGAATGTCAATAAAACTATTTCCAATTGATAGTTCTAAAATTGAATGTTACGAATATTATGTTTGTTTACACCTTGAACATGTACAAGTCCAGTAATTTTAATATTTATGCTAGCATCCATGCTTGACAATATGTATGATAATACCTCTGAGATATGTGATATATCTCAACGTGTATGCAAAAGCGTAATGTAACCCAGAAAACCCCTTTTTTTTTTCTTCTTCTAAGAAATGAGGTCGGGTTGAACCAGGAATGGTGGTGTAATGCTAGCTAAGCGTGCAGCATGGTACTAGTGCCTCAGGGGAGGGTTCAGCCGATCATTATTAAGGGGGCCATCCTAGATTTTTATTAAATAATGAACATGTGTTATTATATTATATATTATTTATTTACAAGCGGATCATTATATTGTATATTATTTAGTAAATTTGATACTGTACAATATTATTGTTTAAATAATTACATAATTCGACTATAAATGAATATTTAAATCAATTTTGCCAAATGAAGGAAGGTAAACGAAAACTAGGTCTTTTGTCCCCCTTCTGGATCCGCCAGTGTGGTGCAGGGCTTCCACTCTTATTAAACATGTTACTGAGCATTTGTCATTGTAGCATTTAGTGGTGGCCCGGCGAGGGTCCATTTTCACAAACTTACAGAAGGCGAAGGCAAATCATATTACAGTGATGACCCAAAGCCTGATGGTACAGATGTCAGCAAAACAAAATCTTTCCTTGCCTTACAACCGATGACAAATGAGCTAATTATCTTGTGTTTTAAAGTTTTCATGACAGCTAGGCATAACTCCTTACTTAGTGTGTCAAATTTTTAAATATTTTGGTAAGGTCATTATTTCTGGTGGTTACATCCTATTATTTCAGTTACAAGTAAGTCTGGACACCTGTATATAATCGCACTAATGAATTAAAATTGTGAGAGTACTGGTGTGCCTACAAGGCTGCAAAACATCTCATGTCAGGATGTCTGAAAAAACAATAAATTGCATTAGAGATTTACTTTCATTGATGAAAAACCTAAAATGTACATGCAGTGTGATAATTAGGAAGAGGAATTATACACCTGAAAAAATCTTGAAATATGCTTTTAAAAATATGCGTTCTCAGTTATACACATTAATACGCATTAAAATTAACAATATTTTATTTCCTGCATTAACCTTTCTTGATAAAATTCAGGGGAAGCATGCTTGAAAAGAAAATACATATTTTTATCCAAACAGAATGCAGTCTATCTTGCAGAACAATAATTAAAGTAAATAGTCACCTTGTGAAGTACATTGTCTTGTTTCAATTCTTCTGCTTAGTTTAAAAAATATATTAAGAAATTTCCTACATTTGCACAAAGTATTTTATCGTCTATCAAGGGAAGAAGAAGACAAACGGTGAAAGGGGGGGGGGAACCTGCATGCGTACATGCACAGACATACACCACACAAATTGTGACAAGCTCTTTGTATTCAATGAACACTTAAAAATAAATAGATTGTATGAAAAGTTGAAACATAAACAAACAAAAATTTGAAACAAGACACATCTCTATTTTAATGAAATATGCGTGTATAATTACACGAATATGCATCATCAGGAAAAGTCTGCCAAATCTGCACTATCGTATTCACTTAGCATCCAATTCTAATTAAATGTCGAGAAATATTACTTGGCTATGCCCAGAAGCAACAATATGAAAAAAAATTCATTGGGTGAAATTGTGAAGTCTCCTGATGTAATGTGTTTTCATGTGTGAGACTTTTGCCAGCAAATTCTTTGTTCTCCCCTATTCATGGACCATATACAGCAGTTGACTGTGTAGACCATTTACTGAGAGACCCTATGAAAGGTGAAGAAACAGAGATAAGTAATGAAGGTGGAAAAATATTTCTTGGTTTACATTTCAGGTTAGTGTTAACGTATGTGCACAATCCTACTGTCAATTTTCCAAGATTTTGAAGTTCCTTAGAATTTAATTTTCTTAGAAATTGGTTATAAATGTCAGTGAATAAGAGTTTTGTTAGACACACTATGAATTTTAAATGTAACCCTTTAGTTTAATAATTACTGGGGCAGTATTAGTTAAATTCCTAACAAATCTGCTAAGATATAATTGGCATGATGGATGAAATGAAATGACCTGTGAATAAACAACATGGAATGTGCTAAGTACAGACTTGCCGTGGCGTTGACTATTGAAAGTTGTGTGAAGTATATTCTATTCCTTTTCATTGTATTTTTTGAAAATAAAATTGTTTTATTTAAATTTTTGGTCAAAGTTGCTCAATAGCGGAGGAGCTCTACCTAAAACCTAATAGATTTTTATAATACTGTATTCTGAAAGTTGGAGGCAAAGTTCGATTTAGAATGTGTTTGCCAAAGTTGTCCCAAGAACAATACTTCTGGAATTTAATTATGATTTTGATAAGCAATACTAGATGCTCCTTGAACTGTGACCCTCTTTATTAATAGAAAGCATTACGAGCTGTATTAAGATTGATTCTCCTCATCAGTCAGACTTTATTACAGAATATCAAAGAGTTAAACTGAAGTGAATTTTTTAAAAATTAATTGATGTCTTTAAACTACATATTGATTAGCCCGTGGCAACAAATTGGTGAGAGGCTTTCCATATTCTGTGAAGACCTGAGATTTTTGTCTTCAAATATGCGAGCTATTATCACTAGACCGCGTAAAAGGTTTAGGTAAAAACCTATTTTTTCCCCTACTAAACGAAGTGTTATATACACATTTTAGGTTTATTTGAATTAAAACCTGCCAATTTTATAGCTCCTAAAAGAGCTTGTTTCAACAATAATACCCACTTGTGCCCATTTTCCTTTTAAATACCTAAAATGAGATTAATTTGCCTAATTTCTTTTGTCTGTGGTTTCTTTCAACTGTGTCGGTACGACAGACAAGGAGTCAATGAAAATTATCAATATTTTAAAGAAATGTTTTTCTTTATTTTTGACAATTCAAAGTTGTAATAATAAACAAATGTCCTGATGTCAGTGCCATACTATATTAGAGAAATTAACAAGAATTTACGAGATTTTATCACACTTTCATTAATCACATTTATCACAGAAAAGGTCTATCAAATCCTTCATAAAAGGTGAAGAACTTCTAGTTATTTATTTTTTATACTTTAAAAGAAGAAAAAAAAAACATTAAAAAACATTTGACTTACAAGAACAATCTTCACAGGTTGAGGTCATGTTTCTTTCAAACTTTTTTGAGAGTTGTTGCATGCAAAATGTTTGGTGAGATTTAATAAAGACTGTATTCTTTCAGGCTAAATGACACTCAACAAAGGAAAGATCTTCTTACGATAGAACTTCAGTCAGTTAAGAAAGAAAAAGAGAAATATCAAAATTTAAATGAAGAATTAAACAGTAGGTTGAGACTTCTTCAGAAGAAACATCAGCTTGTCTCAGCGGTGAGATTGTCATGTGGAATTATTATTTCTTGATGCCTTTCGTTACCATCTACCTACCATAGTAGGTGTTGCATGTGAACATTCTGTATATATTTTTTTTTTACAGGAACGAAATAGTTATCGCTCACAATTGGATTCATATGAAAAGGATTTAACAATTTCTCTCTCTTCAGTTGCCAATCAGCAAAATCATCAACTGCAGCAGAGATTGGATACAATGGAACGGATTTTGGAGGGATATCGCAAAATGATGAAAGAAATGGAATCTGAATCGGACAGGACAAAAGGATTTGCTGGTATGACACTTCTTTAAGTTGAGAATTGAGACTTTCTTGATGTTATTATATTCTTAGTTGTTAATGTATTCCAGGGAATTCAGACATTATGGAGAAATTGAATCGTTTGGAGGGTGAACGCAATACTTTACTGCAGGAAAAAGAACAGCTCCAGAAACGCAAAGATGAATTAGAAGTACAGTTGGAGTATAGAGCAATTAAGGGAGATTTTAATCCTGTAACAAGTAAAGTCCTTCATTTCAGGTATTTTGTTCTTGTTCTTCAATAATAATGAATGAAATGTTTGTACATGGCACATGCTTGAACTGTACAAGAGTTCTTGCAATACTCTCTTCATAGTATTAAGTGTTTTATTTATTCATTCCTGACTAATTTCAATGTATGGCTGCATGTATATCTGTATGTTTTGGAAATTTTGTAATAATTAAAATATTATCTTGTGGTCTTAAAACATACACAAGGGTTGATGGATATTGTACAGGTGTTGTAACTTTGTAAAGTGTACTTTACACAGTAATTACGAATACTTTACCATAACACGAGTTGATAAATGGTAGCATCGGAATTATAAAATCAAAAATAGTATGTTTAATAACACCTACCACATCAGACATAAAATAACATAATCAGGCATTATAATGTATGACCAATAATTATCAGCCATGCTCTTGGATACCATTTTCCACTCAAAAAAATTAAAAATTATTAATAGATTAGAAAATCAGAATACATTGTTGAATTTTCCCTCACATATATTTAAATAACCACCCTTTAGTTACTAGTATTAGATACAATTTGTTTCTTTTCTTTGTGTGCTTCTAAGCTTCCATAGTGGCCCAATGACATTTATTTCAATAACAAATTTTCATAATCTGTTAATTAATATAATATTTAACAAAGTCGGGTAGTTACAGCATTTATAACTCAAAAACAGCTGGACCAATTCTAACTATCCCCGATTTGTTGGATTCATTTCTGCCTCAGAAAGCAGAATAACTATTAAAATATTGGGAAAATTCTAAGATTGCGCTAGAGAGTAAAACTAAATATTAATATCAAATGCAACGTGCAACAAACTCGACGCGATTTTTTGAATCTGTATCCTTAAATAACTCTTAAGCGTTCTAGAGCATTCTAGGGCATTAAAAACTAAATTATTGAGGCCAGAGGCCTCGTCTAAACTTTTCTCACACTGTAATCTATAGGATGATATTTTTTTAACATTCTATTACATTTTTACTGAGGGGGAGAGGGAGATGTTGGACATAATAACGCTTGCTGAGTTCTGCTAGTGGTTAATAATAGTAATAACTATTCTGAGAATAATTTTTGGATGTGAATGATATTAGTTTTAATAAAAGTTCATATTGATGTAATTTTTTCGCTCAACGTAACATCACATATAAACAAAGGGTATTGGAAACAGTGTTAATGACTTCTGAAAGACTTTGTTCTGTATATATTCATGTAATATACTTCACTTTAATTATAGAAGATGATATTGCTTACCAATTCGTGTAAGTTATGGTGAATTATTTATAAACACTTTGTAACTACATTCAGCAATGCTTCAGAACTTTGAGTTCTTTACTGGAATCTGGTTTTGTGATTTCAGTTCCACCATTCAATTTAAAGAAAACTTCCCTTGACCCTTGCATATGATTTGATCTCTGATGACCTCATGATATGAATATTTCATCCAAACACTGTGAAATTCTACTTAGCGTAACTATTATATAAAGATAAACTGTTCACTTCTTTCTTACAATTTGCTGAATTAGAATGAACCCTGCATCAGAAGCGGAAGCACAGTATGAAGATGAAATTGTAAAACTTAGGTCTAAATGTAGTCGTTTAGAAGAAAGAATTAAATTGTTAGAAGCTGGCAATGTTCACGATATTACTCAAAAAGTAGAAGAGAATGTTGCTTCTTCCAACTCTCAAGAAGTTCAAGGCAAGTATTATAATGGAATTCTGCACAAAAACGGAAATGATAATACAGTTTGTAATGTAATATCAAATTTGTAGGTCTGCAAGAAGTAATTAATGCTCAGGAAATAAAAATGCAACGTTTAAAGGAAGTATTTCATGCATCAGCCAAAGAGTTCCGTGAAGTTTGTTATGAACTATTTGGCTACAAAATTGATCGAAATGAAAATATTTATAAACTTTCCAGCATGTATGCTGATAGTCCAGATGATCATCTTATGTTTAAAGTAAGTATCATTCTAATGAAGTGTGTGGCAAGTTTTTTCAGAGTGTCCTTGACATGATTATTGACATACACGACCTGGCTGAGGTAGGTCAGAGCATCATCTGATGTCTTTGCAATGCCTATGTCTGGAAGGACATAGGGTTCGAGTCCTGACAGTGGCAGGATTTTTGACTCTAGCTACTGAGATAGACTTGAGTTCAGCCGCTTCCTGGATGAGAATGCTAGTGGCTCTGATCAGTAGTTTTCTGAGGTATTCTCTGATTAATGCCAGGTGAATGCCGTAGCAATATTCTAACAAATGGACTAAGGATGAACATGATCTTTCTTGCCTCTTCCTTGACCTATCTTCACCCCTTACTTTCACATACTTCAACTTACATTTACTTGCACTAAACTACTACACTTATCGATAGATTAGTTGAGACTTTAGTGCTTGTCCTGGCTGGGGCAGTGGGTTGCAGGTGGGAGATAAGTGGATGGGGAAAAATCTGCAAGTTGATGTGTAAATTGATCTTGCCATTCAGTAGGGGAAGACGACCACCACCACCACCACCTGTTATAAAACATGCATTGCACTGTCAGGACTAATGATAATAGCAGTTTATGTGCCCAGAAGCACAAAATAATTACTTATTTGACATGATTATTGAGATTTGAGAACGAATATCTAAAACGTAGTCTACTATGGTAGATTGATGTTACCTTTTGATGTGTGACTTGATGTTGATTCAGAATTTAATTATATTTGACAGTCTGAGAACTTAGTTTGCAGGGAAGCTCTAAATGTTGAAGATTTTTTCTAGATACAATGTTAATAATACTTGTGGTATTGCAGGGAAAATCAAGAAAAAATAAAGAATTAAAACATTTAATGTATGCACAATGTGAGACTACTGTTTAAGCATTTCTATTTATTAATATGAGAGTGGAAGTTTCCACAAAAGTAAATCCAATAAAACTTTTAAGTTTAGTTAGCATTTGTTTTTTGTTATTGATGTGGTTGACTGGTGTCACCAACCATTTTCGTACTAAATAAAGAAATGAAAGACATTGAAAAATGTTGGTATTTATGGGGAGTAAGAAATTGTATGATGCCAAAAATGATTTCTTGGTATTGATTTAAAATGTGATAATGTGTAAAATGTGATAAAAATTAAATATTTGTTAATTTTATTTTTAGCGTATACCTGATGGTACAATAGATATGATGGAGACCCCTTATTCTTCCACCTTGGGAGAATTGATTGACCTTCATCTTCATCAACATAACTCTCCACCATTATTTCTGGGAGCTGTTACGCTGGAACTCTTTAATCGACAAACACTATCACAGACAATATCGCAAACCATAGAGTTAAATTGATTCATCTTTTACTGAAACTGAAGATGAATTAATTGAACTCCATGATTTACTAGTGTGAAAGTCAATTTATTCTATTGCTTTTAAGCTTTGTGATTTGTATGAGTATTATTTGAATATTTAACAAATAATGCAAATTTGCTGATTTGAATGGAGAACTCTTAATGTAAACACAGTACCATGCTGTTATGTAAAAACATTTTTGATACTTGAATAAATAATTATTTTAATCATTTCTTTTTCTTTTCTAGTTTTGACAAGCCCCTAAAACTGATTGGTTCTTTTGCTGGCTGTCTCTACTATACATTTCCCACTTCACCTCCACTTACTCTGCTAGTGTTTATCCTAAGCCACCAAGTCCCCCAAGTCACCTCAGTGTGTGCTCAAAGGATGACGGGAGAAACGAGGAATTATTTAGGCACATATGTAGAGGATAAAATGTGATGCGGAAAATAGTGATAACATTCAACAAACCCCAGCTGGTCCATATGTCCTCCTGTGTGGTTCTTTGCATACCTATCAGCAGTGTGCTGAGAAGAAAATCCCCCCTCTCTCTTCCCTGTGTTTCAGGGCTGACAGTGGCATGGCATAGTTGACAGGGACATCATATTTTGCCAAATTTTTCAAGACTCTCCTATTCATCACTTTTGAATGGTTGTTGGGTTCAGGTAGCATGTCATGATTGTGCTGTTAGCCGCTTTTTTTAAAATTCTTCTTGGAAGTATGAAAAGCAATTTGAAAAATAAGTTTAGTATGCTTTTTTGGAAAAAGAACTTCACAGTGTAAATTATGTATTAAAAACAAGTCCAATGGTGTTTACAGATCAAAAATTCTGGTGTTATTTGTAATGAAAATTCTCATTTGATAGTATTGTGATCTATTGAATTTTCTTACTTATATTTTTTTGTACATTTAGCCTTAAAAACATTTCATCATCTGGCCATAGCAGTCACACCACGTTGCAGGACTACATGAGAGGAAGAAATGTGAAGAATTCCTCCTCAAAGCGAAATTACATTTTTGCATTGCTTATAAAGAACTTGCTGTTTATACTCAGTCAAGGTCAATTTCTTGAAAATGCTGAACTAAATAAGTATACATTTCCCCTGATAAATCAAAGCAAATAAGGTATATAGTTATTTCATTCAAAATAAGACATGAGTGAGGAAAACATATCTCCTGTTTATCCTTTGAGAACTGCTTTTTTGGAATTTTAATTCATCATTCAACTGTAAATATATAAGGGGTGGGTAGGGATTTTGGAATCTGCGAGTAAATGTGCACAGTTTATCCTTCTTGCCCTTACATTATAGCAGTTTTTACTGTGTTTGAGGAAAATAATTTAAATTGTGCTGGCACAAGCTAAACCTCGGGACCAATGAACCTGACTTTTAAAAAACATTATAAAAACTCTATTTGTTATACACACATGAAAAGTGTGAAAAAAGTATTAATAGAAATCTTGTCAAAATGCACACTTGAAGTTTAATGATAACCTGACATTGTTTAATCAAATTTTGGACCATTGAAATATTTCCTATTAAAGGGTCCTGTATTCCCACTGACTTAAACTTGATGATTTAAGGCAATAACTCGGTAATCCTTTCAGTTTTTAAGCTCCTAGATCTCCTTCACAGAACTTGTTTACTATATTGTGTTGCTTAGGAAATACCCACTGGTGGAGCAAGTGTGGATCTGCAGGGATGAGGGAAATCCCCCCCACCTAAAATTTTTCAGTATTGACTATTAATGTTAACTTGTCATGAAACTTTAATGCAAACAATATTTTCAGATAATCATTAAAGCGAATAAAATCATATCGCAGCATGAGCTGAGTGTAATCTGTGACGTATTGCAAAATCTGTAATATGACATTCATTCAACCAAAACATTTTGAACTTCCCCTTCCAAAGTTTGTCTCTGTACCTGCCCCTGGGTGTGAAAAAGCAATAAAACAATATGCCTAATTTAGCTTGGCATGATGTTGAGGATGTTTCTGGTATGAGGGCTTCATTTTCATACATTTATTTCAAAAAAATGGAATGAGAATACTGCAGGGAGGAAACTAAAGGTTTCTTTATTTCAATGAAAAGTACAGAGTATAGTCATGGCATGATATGCCATTTTTCAACATTTTTTGTGAGAACTTATTTTATCCTCTTTACCTTAATAAATTAGGTATCTTCTGATAGGTTCAAAATATTCCCCACCATTTCAAAAACTATACATTTGATATCTGTGAAATGAGCATAGAAACATTCCTTTATTTCTACATACAATTGGACACTTAGGAGATGTAAAGTTACAAGAACATATTAATGACGTAATTCTATGCATCTGAATACACTGTGGTTTTCTCACACAGAATGGATTCCAAGAGTAAATTTTTTCGGTATGACAAGAAACTGAAATAACCCTTAGTATAAAGTGTTGTAGAATGTGACCAGAGTATTTGAAATTTATATTTCTCCGAAATATTTTGCTTTAGAAGTTCAAGATTTTAGTATCATGTTATTTGCAATCCTATTGGTTTTATTATGTCATCTGGAATTGAACTGGGGGGGGGGGGTAGAATTTATTTTTCACAAAAATTAATATAAGATTCATAATTAACAGGTAATAAAATGTATTCAATATTTTGCATGCAAATCAATTCCAACAATAATTTCATGAAAATATTTGGAACTAAATTGAGAATTTTAGTTTTATGTAAGTCCTTAAAGCAATTTGGAGGTAATTATATTTACAAATCATCATGTAGCTTAATGATGTAAAGAGCTACTGATGTTTGGGATCATGATTTCATAAAGGAGGCAATTAAGTAGCCTTGTTGGATTTGTTTGTGCTTCCTCCATTGGCATCTACCATTTGCCGTGCTTTGGCAAGAGTGGATTGATGACTATCATTTCCGCTGGTGAAGTCTTGATTGTTTCCTGTGCCTCCTGCGCCAGCTCCTTCTCCAACAACGGCTGCCGGATTGAGAAGTAGTAGTTGATGAAGAAGTTTGTTCCCTCCTGAGGAGCCAAGACCTTCACGAGCAGCGTTTACAAGATGAGGGTGTTCCGATAATGTGTCTGCTAAAGATGCAATAAGAACATCTGAAATGAAAAGGTCACAATGTGGTAGAGGACAGTACCAGCTTGAACCATCTAAAACATATTTATGACCATGCTTTAAGAAAAGTAATGTATACGTCAATTTCAAGAAATGATAGTGTGGTTTAAATATTAATACACTTATCATTTTGTAGCATGTATAGGAGAGACCGGGCATAGATTGGACACGGGGTAACATTGGACGTTATTAAATTTGCCACCATAGGGATTGGTACGTTTGCACCTTCAAAATGCGTATGAATAAGCAAGGCTTGCCAAAATTCAAAACTCCATCCGTTTCTAAGATTGACGATATAAGACTTTTTATGTATTCGCATGTTTTATAAATTTCTCTCGTGTTAATTGCTGCTGTAAGATATGTAATTGCCAAGTAATTTCTCTGTAGTTTATTTGAAGCATTGCCATAAGTATTTCTGATGAAATGCGTAAACATGAAAGCTTTCACATTGGGGCGAGTGCGAAATCTTTAATTTTGTTTGTCATGTGGGGCTGCAATGGTAAGTTTTGAACAAACGTCCAATGTATCGCCGGCTTTTTATGTTCTCTCAAATCTGGGCCGTCATCTATTCGCGTGGAGTTTGGGCGCCAGTTATAGATACGCATGTATATTATCTTACCCAGAACTTTCTTTTCCAAACTTCTGGAAATGTGTCCTTGTTCAGCTTCTGATTCCAGAAAATTTGTGAACTTCTGAAGTGCCTCTTGTGCATCAGCATTGCCTAAAACATGAAATTTTACTTTATTTCCAGAAGAATTGGTTGATATCCTCTTTCAATGTAGATATTTTTTATCTGATATGAAGAAAAACATCATGCTGGAATGAACAGAATAATCCTGGTAGAGAAGTTCGTTACTTTGTATTAGATTGGACTCGACAGGCGGCAATTCACACCGGGGCTGTCGCGTCCTCGCGCAGACACCCGGGCATCTGCAAGGCGATGCGCGTTGCCTCGTTTATCCGCGTTACCGTTTAAGTGTCGCTTGTAATATCAAGTGAATTATGTTTACCAATCCATTAAATCTACTGAGATTGCAGAATTATTCAATGCGTGTGCAGTATAGAGAAAGTATTGTATTGCTACGGGAAACTAGTGGTGCTAAAAAGCACGTACTTCCTCGCCTGTATTTTCATGCAAAGTACTATAATTTTCGAAAAATTGTACGTGACCTTATTTCAAAATCTATTTTTAAGGAACAGATTTCATTAAGGGAAAAATATTTATCTTCAGTATTTTAGTAGTATGAAAACTCCCAACTAATTTTGAACTTAAGCCATTTTTGAAAATCAGGGTTTTTAACGAACTCGAGTCCCGCACCATTCTCTTCACAATATTCAAAAAATACACTTCCTTAACAATATTCAACAAAAAAAATCAAAAACAATGGAGCAATTTCTTTGAAAAATTGAAATATATCCCAAGGACTTCATGTAAAGTACCTCCCCTCCCGCGAATTAAAATCTCGGTTTCAAATTAAAGAACCGTGACATCAGCCAGATCGATTGGGGAATGTCAGTTTTGGAGAAAATCGGCTTAACGGTTCAGCTGCTAGCGTTTTTTACAGGTGGACAGACCGATGTTTTGCTTTCATTCGATTTTTCAGTATCAAGGGCCCACAACACATGAATTTTGGCTATACCACGTATTAGAGGATTTTCACCCTAAATTTAACAAGCGGATTTATTCACTTTTTCGTTAAGAGGGCTCTGTAAGGGTTTTTCTGGCGAAAATTCGCCGTTTTTCGCACAGCATTACATAACGTTCTACTCAGCAAAAAAGTAAAAACGGCGAAATTTTATGAAACTCTTAAGACCCATTCACAATGCAAACGTAAACATAAGCATAGCGCATAGACATAAACATTAACATAAGCGATAGACTGAAGTATTCAAAATGCCTAACATAAACGTAAGCAAAATAAGTTTCTATTGTTGTGAGACTTTCTGGTTGGACGTGAGAATAGATTCAAAATATCGACTGTGTCTATGTCCCATATGCGTTAGTTCTTCTATCCACTTCGCTCCAATTTCGATTCTCGATTTTGAGTTACCGTTCTGTGATTGTTCATTTCTTATGTCTTACGTAAGCTAAACACAGAAGCTTGAAGCTTGCAAGCTTTTAGTTAACTCTTACGTGTTATGCTTATGCGAACGCCATTGATAATGAGTCGCCCTTATGGACGCTACCCCTAACGTTTGTGTTAACGCCATGTTTATGTTTGTTTGCATTGTGAATGGGCCTTTATTGTCGGGCGCTAGTAACGAAAATGTGGAAATATGAAAAATGTGGGTTGTCCCTACATATAGTAAATTACTTCCTCTAATATGTGTAGTCAGAATCCATGTTTTGTGGGCCCTTGGAACCGGAAAATAGATTGACGGCAAAACGCCCATCTCTCCGTCTGAAGTCAATGCTAGCGTCTAAAACGTTCAGCCGATTTTCTCCATCCTCAATCGATCTGGCTGTGGCGAACCCTCAAATTTGAAAAAAATATTTAAATTTTGGAGAGTCCTAAGACATTTTCGAAATTTTGACAAAAATGGCTCCAAATGTTTTGACTAAATTTTGTTTTTGGAAAGCGTAAAGGACGCTTAAATGAATGGTGCAGGTCTAATTTTTCGAAAATTGCAAAAGTGTGATTTGTTCAACATCTTCCTGGAACTGAAGTATTTAAGGTAGAAATTGTTTCCTTAATGAAATCTGTTCTTTAAAGTCGGATTTTAAAATAAGGTTATGTACAATTTTTCCAAAATTTAAGTAGTTTCCGCGTAATTTTGCGTGAAACAAAGACAATTTTTGTTAAACAACTTTTCAAAAACGACACTAAATTTTTTGATTGAATTTTGATCTTCGAATAAAGCCATGTTCAATTTTCCGAAAATATGAGTATTTGTGCGTAGTTTTGCGTAAAACGCAATTTTTATTTTTTAATGCAATTTGTTCTCAAGAAAAGCACCAGCATTTTTTATTAAATTTTAACCTCGGATAGCGTAAAGAAGACATTTAGAGAATGGTGTAGGTCTCATTTTCGTTGAAATTCCCTTTTTTCGAAAATTGCAAAACATATTTTTTTCGAGTTCTTGAAGATATTTTTTTTCCTGGATGAAATATGTTCATCAGAAACAAATCTTCAACTAAAGACATGTTCAGTGTTTCAAAAATATGAGTATTTTTGTGTTAAACACAGGCGAGTTTTAAATTTCAAACTATTATTTTCTCAGCTTCATTAGCTTCAGACATTTTGTTAAAAAATATAATTTTTGTTAAAGTTTGCAATATACGAAAATACCCTGTTCTTATACCTACAAAGAAATCGTTCCGTGATTACCATCAAGCTCTTTTTTATACCTCTTTGATACGTCGATGTAATTTACGTAGGGCATACTCGTTTTCATGTAACATTATTTCTCTTTTCATCTAAATTCATCAATGATGATTCATCACGTAGAAAACAAATTCGTTTCAGCAAACAGTAATATGTCTAAACTTCTAATGGGATTATTAATAAATGAATGAATGAATTATTTAAAGGATCATTCATGGAATCATGTAGCCCAAGATTTAAATTATGAGCAGCACAATGCAGAAACAATGCATTGTCAATCTACTTTGTTTTCTGACTACCATTGTCAATTTCATTCAGAACGGCTGCGCCACTATATTCGTGATCTCTACATTTAGATAAACAAATTCCTTCGACAATATAAAAATGCAATCCGTGTGCCGATGGATCTTCGACTTTCCTATACCCTACGAAAGATTCATTCGTTTTTATGTTAAACTGTTTGCCGCATTCATTTTTCTTGATGGTTACATGTAACATTTGACCTAATTGGTCGACGTTTGATACGTCTTGCATTGTGTCCATTACAATAGATAATAACGGCTCTTCATTTATTTGTTCTATGATATTATTAGATCCAGTTGTATACAAATTACTTATTATTTCGTTTTGAATTTGGAGACCCAAATTGACCCCCGGACATGGTCCTGTCAGTCACAATGGAACATACACCCGTGATCCTAGCGTAAAGAACCCTAAGATAGAAAATGTTCAAAATATATGAGCCTTTGACATGACTCAAAATGTGAAAATATTTTTACACAAACTGGCTGGAAATAATTGCAATATAATACATAAAATATGTAAAGCTAGCTTAAATATATAGAAATTTTCGGTTTTATTGCAATTCATTCTGGAGTCGTTGCCCCCCCCATTCACGGGTGGATCCAACCGATAATTTTTTGAGGGGAGAACATAGATTTTTCTTAAATAATAATATATTAATATATTGTATATTATTTGTGTAGTTTATATATAATACTCGTACTATACAATACTATTTTCAAACAATTACATAATTGTAACATTAATATTTAAATCAATTTTCCCAAATAAAGGCAGGTATCGAAAACTCGAGGCTTTTTTTGGGGAGGGGCAAGCCCCCCTGGATCAACCACTCCCCCCATTGGTGCTTTCCGAGTAGCGGAATTACATTGAAATGTGAATAGAGAATTCTTGAGATTTCTTGTTAGTTAATGTATTCTTCAATTATTCCCTTGAACATTCATTATGTATATAATGTGTGTGTGTGTATGCGTGCGTGTGTGTATGTATCTTCGTATTTTTTAGAAATTAAAATGCTTTTGTAACAATTTTTCCACCGAAACGGTGATTTTCCAATCGATCTTTCCTGCTAACTAATCGGGGAACTTCGCGAACCCTTCCTTCAGACAAGCGCGATCATTTATTTGAGCACAGTAACAACTACTTTCTTCTATACCGATTTTGCCGAAAGATGGCTTCGTCAAATGCTACATACAGATTCTGGAAAGTTCTTGGTTTGTCACTCAAATACTATTCTGATATTTTCACATCTGTGACAATATATTCTATTTAAAATTTTAAGTAAATAATACAAAAGTAAATTAACATTATCTTATTAATCATAATTTATTCGTAATAGTCACATTCAAGAATCCTGTATGTGAGACTTCCTTGGACGAAGTCATCTTTAGGTACTTAATTCATGAACTCTCCAAAATTGTGTAAAAGTATTGCATTAAATGTTAAGTTTGATTTTTGAAAAGAGAAAGGGCTGATAATTCAGAGTAGTGGCCATCAATTTAATAATTAGTGAATCGTAATTCCGTATGGAATTAACGTACACATGCAGCAGGTAAGACGAGAAATGTATATCGAACCTACGATTGAATTTTGAAGCGAAGTTATCACAATAAAATTTTCATATTGAAAGAATTTGTGAGCATAGCAGGGCAACGGAGAAATTGATAAAATCGGTAAGAAAAGTAGTAGTGCAACAAATGGCCGCTTACCGTAACTAAGTAACAAATAATTAAATATTTAAGGATTTGAATATTTTTGTTTCAAATGATAATAAAATTAAGAATAGGAATGTTAAAAATGGTTGCCCAAGTAGAGCAATGAAATGGAATATTAAATATATGGAGAAAAAGGTTAATAACCTTGAAACAATGCTAAAGTTAACATTATGTGTAAAACTGAAATTTACTGTTGGCAAGGTTTAACAATACTTGGATTGTGGCTTACCTCGGTTCAGAGATTGCGCAAACATGACTTTTGCCAGTTGATAAATAACTTCTTCCAGAGAATATTCTGTGTACAGAAAGTCGGCAACGCGTAGTCTCTCCAAGAGTTCTTCGTAATCTTCATCTGATAGACCGAGATTTTGCTGTTGCAGTCTATTATTGTTCATCATTGTGATATCTAGAAACAAAATTGAGTTATAGGAGATGCAGTCTTATTTTCTAATTGTCTACATGTATTGCTCTATATGTAAATATGAATTTCAGATTATGACACTAAGCAGTTAAACGATGTTCGTACGCCATATCGTCGGTGACTTGCGAAAGTTTTCGCGACCAATCTACGTTTTCAGGAAAAATGTATCCCCACAATGTGGTTGTAATAGTAAGGGAAAAAAGTATAACTCTAATATTCGAGCATTGAAACCACTCACAAAACGTTAAATGAAATCCAACAGAAATGTTCGATGTAGTTTTTCTACTGAAGAAATACATTGGGTTATTTTTTTTTTTCATTTCCCAAAGTTCCTTACTTTATATGAAGCAGGTTATCAAAGTGAATTAATTCAACAAATTGACAAATTTATTGATGGTGAAATAGAAAAGGATCCTTTTTCAATTAGGTAAGAGACAAGGTTTTATATTATAAGATATAAAGGAAAAATCAGAAAAGAAAAAAGTATACCTTCTTCCGGCGAAACGTACAAAAAAACAGTTACGCAACAACAGCATGTACTTTCTTGCATTTGCAACGTTTACGACGTACTGTAGTGCTATTTGTACACACATTTGTGTATTTTTTGAGAAAAATAATGATTAGTTTCGTGAAAAAGAATGTTATTCGGTGCAATTGGCTCTACCCATTAAAAAAGTTAAGAACAAATTTGAATACGTTGTTGAGAAAGTATTGTTTTTACAATCGCTTTCATTTCACACAAAATTAGGTGAAAAATACTTTTTTTAAAATTAGTGAAATTATGTAAAGATCTGTTAATAGTGTTGTCGTTGTAGGAAGATGCCAACATTTTTTGAAAACTTTTAGTTTTCAAAAATGTAGCGAATTCAACGAAAAGTGGACGTGTACAAATTTACAAGCGTACTTTCCTCCATGCGAGAAAAAAAAATTAAATAAAAAAGATGGTGTTATTTTTCAGGAACTTTTGAAAATCTTAAGGCTTTAGGCAATGCACCCCCCCCCCCCAAAAATCATTGGTCCGCGATGTCAGGAAAATCGATGGACGGACAGATGTTTTGCCGAAAACCAATTTTTGGGTATCAATGAACCAGAAAACGTATAATATTATTGTATATAATTGGAAAAAGTAATTTACTACGTACATGAACAAAAAAATCCATTTTTTTGCTATCAATAACCCAGAATGTAAGATTTTCCGCCGAAAAATTACCCTATTTTGCTGGAAAATTACAAGTCTTTCTCTTTACTACAGAAGTACACAGTAGGCGAGAAAGTAATAAATACACATAAATGTAAGTCCAGTAACAGGAAAGAAACACCAATAATTAAGATGAAGCGTGTTTGAGAAGAAAATGGAATATAATTATAATATTTTTAGATTATTAGTATATAGGAAAGGGAGATGCCAGACTCCTGAGCCGGGCTTGTAATTGTTTGAACACCTGAATAATTATCTCCATGTGATGTTTACATTCAGATTGTTTCGAATGAGTTACGTAAATTATGTTACGTACCCTTCGGAGTAGCTTGGATATCAGGAATGCTCTTCTTAGTGAAAAGGCCTTCATGTGTTATTTCTGTACTCATCTTTGGTTCTGCTCTTGGTTTGTCTAAGCCAAGTGCCTTCTGTATTAGGGTTGCCCTTTCCTAAACATTTAAACAAATTCAACCTTGAGAACGTTTGAATATTATGTTTAAATATCACATGTGTAGGAATACGAGCAGTATCCCTCATATTGGTTAAAAGTTTATTTCCTAATTCATACTCCTTCGATTCATTCAAAACAAAGTTGTATATATGTAAGACGAAAATTATCACGATATTCTGTTCTTACCTTGGCCTGAATTTGTTCCTGTTTATGTAGACGTTGTTGCGCATAGTGTGTCTGCAGGAAGTCCAAATTATACTTAATCTCCTGAAGGAAATTAATGGCCTCTTCTCGAGTCATCTGTGGAGAAATGAAATAAGAAAACTGAAGTTCAACAAAAGTAGTACAGGTATTACGTAAAGAAGGAATATGACATGTTGTACTAGTGTGATGGAAACAGAAAGGAGGTAGTAACTTAATTATTTGACGTAAGAAACATTTTATTAAAATTGTATTGACGCATGTTAAATCTTTAAAAGTGGACTGAGGAATGCTATGCCAATACATTTATTATCAACCTCAGATGACAGACTATCATTTGACGAAATCCTGGTAGATATGGTTGAACATATTTGATGGAAGAATCGCAAGGAATGAGTTATTGATTTGCGGGAACTAAGAGAAGAAAGGCAAGCCTTTCTGATCATTTGCTATCTTACCAGTCCTTCCTGCAGAAACTCTTCAATAGCGAGCGTGACGCCACGTTCGTCGCCGGTCCAAAAGACGTACTCTGCCATGTCCAGCGGTGAGTACTGGACTCCTGAATATGGGAGGTACTTCGCCAACTGCACATGAGGAAGACCATATGTCTAGAGTAACAGTGATGAACGTTCTACCGCAGTAAAAACAGAACAATGAAGAGAAAAAACGCGTTATTGTCATTGCCAGAGTTCATGTATCTGACAAACACCAGTGCAAGATTAACTGTCGACCAAACACGGACCGATAAAAAGAAACATGCAAGCGTGTAATTTCGTTATGTGTGAATTTCTATTACACGTTCACAGGAAAAACAAGTCCTCTATCTGCTCTGGACGTCTGTAAAAATTATTCTGAACTATTCCGTCTATCGTATACAATACGCTAAAGAAATATGACGGATTAATAATAAGAAACCATGGACACAAACCCCCTCAAATGCATTTCTGCTGGTTGGGGAATTACCGCCCAGGAGGCATCAAATAGATTTAAGACGAATAACATAGAAATTCGCTGGTTATGCCGATTTGGGAAATTAGGCGCAAGTTCCACACATGTGATACACTTCTAGGATATGCAGAATGGTAGGAAATGAACGCTTTCTGCCAATGGCCAAGCGTTGGAAAATTTCACATTTTTCGCCCTTAAAAATCAATGGTTTAGATCGGGTTTGAACCCGGAAACTTGGGTAAATAATTATACCATTGAAGCTACTAATCGCCTTAGGTTTCACCAACCAGGTGTAAGAATTTACTCTGGAGTAAATCATGTTTACTCAAGAGTATCTTCTTGGAGCATTTCATCAATGTTTTACTCGAGAGTAAATTCATTCACTTACACGAGAGTAACTTCACTCGGGGAAAATACGGAGTACGGTCAAGAAAAGTACGGAGTAACTTCAGTTTTCAACATGCGTGTATCTCCGAAGTGTTGTTATCAGTTCAGACTCCAGTTAAAACCTAAATTTTAAAACTGAAATGAGTAATGGGATAAGTAAATAACTAAAGGTTTGCGTTGGTCCTCATCCGTTTATATCGTCACTCTCGCTCACGACCTCTTGAATCGCTTTCCGCTGTGTATGAAAACTTGCGCGTTCAGCGGGTTCGCAAAGAAAATTGGGAAGTATGTACTCTAGAGTAAAATATCCCTTCAGAAGCGTAGTGAAACTCGTAATTCTACTCGAGAACAACTATCATAATGCATACTCTCGAACACGGTCGGGCACGTGTTTGCCTGTCGGATGCCTGTGCCTGCCCCGCGAGCAGGGCCGCTTAGGTCCGACCGCGGCGGACCAGGGAGGTAATTTAAAAGCAGAAAGAACACTGCCAGCTTGATAAGAATTCAAAAAGACACAACTGGTTAAACTGATTCGAAGCACAGTTAATGTATTGTACATATGAATAAGGATAAACGTGTAGACACATTTTTCATGTATGGAAATATATATATATAACATTTAATTTATGACATATTACCTTCTCCAATTCATCCATGTTTGGAACAATAGTTCGAGTACTTTCCGATCACTCATTTTAGTACCGTCTTATCTACACAACTGGTACTGTGAAGAGTTCGAGAAACTCTGACACGCGAATTTACTTCGGCAGGTTCCGCCAGTCGTCGCTTCGCCTCAAGACTGTCGTCGCCCGGGCGCTGCCCAGCGGGCAAATCGTACCCGCCGTTCGCGCCCGCCCCTGCTCTCGAGTGTCTACTCTTGACTTCACCCGGCCCTTCCCACGTCGCGACGGCAGCGCGCTTCCGTCAAGACTCTCGTTACGCGAAGCGGAGGAGGGGGTACACTGAAACGCTAGCAGAATACAGCTTTAAATGGTAGCCTTCCCACTGTAGATGCCGGAAACACGTGCAGCGTGCAACGTCACGAGTACGCATCTCACATTCAAGACTCGATTTTAAAGCAAACATAATACTTATCACATGAAAACTAAATTCAATATAATTTTTATATAAAAAAAGAATTTTTACATTAGAGCACAAAGCTCTGCACTTCCTAATTTCAATTATTTCTCGTGGCGCACTATATTTTCGTCGGACGAGGACATCACAGCAGTGAGCGTCGTGGCTTTTTACAAGTTAGCCAACTGCAAACGAACGAAAGGAGGAAGGAGAGTCTATTAAATTCAAGGACACAACGACCACAGAATCGTCAGTTGTGTTGCCAGCACTAGCTGTCAAATCATCCCATCCTTAGGAAAATTCTTCTTTACCGCCGGTCGCTGCGTTTTACCCGCTGCGGTCCCTTTGTCCGTCGTCGCCGGAGGGTCGGCGAAGAGCCCTGCCAATTGACGTACGCGCGCTGTCGTGGCGGCGTGGGAAGATGCCCTACGGCGGGATGGAGGGGGGAGGGGTACTCACGCTGTTGGTGTCGGGGGCGGCGCGGCGCTCGCCGTTGTCGGTGATGTCTGCCGGGGGCGGCGGCGGCGGCGGGGACTGCGGCTGTGCCAGGGCCGCTTCCTGGCCGGGCTGCGGCGCCGCCGGTTGCTGTGGCTGCGCCTGCGGCGGCGCCTGCGCCTGCGGCTGCTGCGGCTGCTGCGCGGGCGGGTGCTCCAGGTTGCCCTGCGGCACAAGTCCCGTTTACCTAGGATTTTTACTTCTTCTTATATGTTCTATATACGGAGTAATATATGGTCGTGAATCTGCAATATAATTTCTAAATTTCACTTCATGGTTTCCTTCGTGTTCGCTCTCTAACTAGCGAACTAGGGATGCGACATCGACACCACCATATTAAGGTTTAATATCGTATACTTTGGGTGTGGCTATGGTAATTAATTTATTATTAAGATTTAACTGACAAAACAAAGTAAAATTAATAAAGATAATATATAATATTCTGAATACCTGAGCAAAAGGTCTCAGCTTCTTCAGTCCGTTGTATGGAGAAGGTAATGGGAAGAAGAAGAAGAAGAAGAAGAAGAAGAAGAAGAAGAATTTTATGCCTTTTACGCTTTTCTATCTGTCGAAGTTCACAAATGACAAAATACTACATTTGTTTATCTTACTTCCTGATTTTAATGGGATACTCTAAAAAGCATCAAAGCAATTTTATCTGAAAAAGTCCTTCTTTAATTTTATCAACAAATGCTACAAAATTCTAAATCCTAATTTTTATGAAGCTATAAAATGTTATAGCCTTGTTTTCCAGGGCGATTATTAAAATTTAAAGAGCTAAGTTCTGCCATCACTATTGATAATATGTACTGTTATTTTGAATCCGTGGCTTAGAATTTATCGATGAACTTTTGATCAACCTGATAAACACGACACGACAACCTGACAACAATTCGTTAGAAAGTTTTTTTTGTTCGTTAGCATCATTCCTTTTCGTTCGCGTATTTAATGAAGAGTGTATAATTGTTTGTATTCAAAATAATTGCTGGCAGTTTAATGTCGACTATTAGTGAAATTTAAAAAAAAGCAACAAAGTGCCCAAGAGAATACTAATATTTCTTCTTTTGTTTTTTACGCACCAAAAGGAACATATTATTTCCGTGTTCATAGAGTATTCTGAATATTCATGAAGTTGTGTTTCATATGAGATCACAGAATCAGAATTTTGTGTAATGAGCCAGTTTTTCGTTTTAAAAGGGCTTCAACACTGCGCCACTCAGCAGCGCTTCCATTGGCAAAGCTATGGTTTAAATGAAGGTATTACAGCACGCGAGCAGCGTAGTCGCGCTGCTGTGGGGTCTGGCGGCGAACTCCTTCTGCCAGCAGCGCACACGCATGTCCGCGCCACCGCTAGCAGAGCAAAGTTCTAAATGGCATCCTTCACACTAGATCACTCGGGCCATTGAACCGGTTTTTACCTGTTGGTCGCCTTTCAGTCGCCGGAATGCGTGACTTACAAATCCTTCTTCCCTCTCGGTGAGAGGCGGGCGACGGTGGATGCGTGTGAAGGGATTTGCCGTTTCTCGGTGGCGCCATCGAGAGGCTGCATGTGAAGGCACCCAAAGGGCCCCTTCCCACGGCATCACCCAGTAGCTCTTCGGAGAAGCGGCAGAGCTCTTCCCACACGTTAACGTCGGTCACCGCTGCCTGCCATGGACCGCGACAGGAAGGTTTTGTGAGTCACATAGCTTTCGGCTTAGGCGGTCGGACAGCGAACAAAAGCGAGGTCGCAGGTAAGCGACAGCTCTGCGCCGCGACCGAGTGTCTCAGTGAAAATACTATCATGTTATGCTGTGGTCGGCTAGCGGTACCGCGTACGCTTTTCCACGCCGCTGGTGGCGGGAGTCCGCCGCCGAACCTAACAGCAGACTCGTGGGAAGACCTCCATTTAAACCAATGCTTTCTTACCAGCTGCGCCTCTCGGAAGCGCTGCTGAGTGGCGTCATGAGTAGGGACCGAGAGGGAGGCTCTGCGTAGGGCGAGTGTCAAGTAAGGCTGCCTTCATACGGAGCATTCAATGGCGCCACCGAGCAGCTGCGTCTGAAGGCTCTTAAAGAGAGGCTCTGTGTAGGGCAAGTGTCAGGTAAGGCTACCTGCACACGGATCCACTCGGTGGCGCCACCGCCACCGGTGGTAGCCACATGTGAAGGCTCGTAAAGGGAGGCTTTGCGTAGAGCGTTAGGTAAGGCCGCCTTCACCCGGAGCCACTCGGTGGCGCCACCCGAACGGATGCGTGCGAAGGCTGCGGGCTCCTACCTGCAGCAGCGTCTTGTGCACGCCGCGCTCCGGGATGTCCACCTCGGTGAGCACGCGCGTGGCCGGCGTGGCGGCCGCCTCCTCCTGCGTGCTGTCCACGCGCTGCTGCAGCCGCGCCACCAGCTGCCCGTCGCGGCTCACTGCGCATGTGCGGACGCGAATCACAACCCGGACTCAGGCGGAGACGTGGAATATAATATGAAGCACTTGGCGCAGATACCCCTCACGTTAGCGTAACAAAATGAGTTAAACCGCAAAACGTTTTATCCGGGCCTCCTTGATATAAGTGTTTAGCAAACACAAGTAGTACCTTATAAATAATATTAATATAAATAATAAAAGTATCCTTTAACAAATTAGAATTCATCGGTCTATGATTTATTCCCAATAGAGGAAAAATATGAATTTATTATTTAATTTTATGAAATTAAGACTATTATAAAACCTAAATGAATTGCTTACCCTGATTGGCTTAGAAACCGGATTACATAAGCTACCGAAGCGGGAAAAATGTTCTTCTGGAAGATGCTGTTTTTAATCTTTTATTGTATCGACTATAGCAAAATACTAAAGAAAGTAACAAGTAATTAACATATCTTACAATCGCAAAACCTTCAGACTAAAACTAGACCCTCTTTTTCTGGGCCGACCCACCTTGCTGGCCTTGCGGGCCCGAACGTTACGCCACTGACCTTTCACGTCCATTTTTTTTTCTTCAGATTTTGAGATACATTGATCACGCGATATAAAATATATAGACGCATTGACTGACATAAAAATCCCTCGTGTCCGTCGCCAACTGTGAGTGTAACGTCTGGCTAAAGTTTTCGTTTGGAGCAGGATTGGACGTCAAGTAATTCAGTTTTTTTCCTTCTCCTGAAAAATCTTGAAGCGCGAACGTGAGGGGTTATTGCACCAAACGATTGTAAGTGGCAAAATATCTACTTTAAATGAAAGGAATTTACTCGCACGAACGCAAACACACATTCTTCTTCAATACACAATCACCACGGATGGAATATAACTAAGATTTAAAGCTTGGAATGCATATATAATGAAACCATCTAATGTTGGGCCCCGTGATCGCTCATGGACAGCATACTAGCTTTCCGTGGTGCGATCCCGGGTTTGATTCCCGGTCGGGGCAATAATAGAATTGTAGCTTTTCTTTAAAATCGTCCCAGTTTCTATAGCTGTGTGACGAAGAAAAGCTCAGACAGGCGGAGAGTACGGTGAAGGGAATGGGTATAGTAAATTATTTCTGTCCTACATGCTCATTTACAAAAATACATCGCATGTAGTACTTATGTAGTGATTGATTTTATTTCCTTTTGGACTTTCTGCTTCGAAGATTTTCACTTTTTTTCACTTCTCTCCCTTTTTGTCACATATTTTACAATATTATTATCGACTTGAAAACAGCGTGTTATATTAATAAATGCTAACTTTATTTTGTATATAAAATTATTTCAGTTATGCAAATAAATCCAATCTTTATTTTCAGAAATATAGTGCGAAGTACCTATTTTATCAATGTACGCTTATAATAGTATGACCCACTGATAAGTTTTTTTGAAAATGTTCTATTCCAAAACTTATATGATCAGTTAAAATTTCAATTTTCACCCTTGAATCGATCTTGATATACGCTATGATGAATAAAATCAAAATTTGGATTTTTGAAGAAAATGGCTCCTGAAAAAATCGTTAAACCTTATATGGGCCATATTGTCTCTAGGATCCTTAAATAAAAATGGTTTTCTTAAATAGATATTTACTATTTTTAGATTATCATTTTCCACTTGTTACAAAATAGGAACTCGGAGTATCAAGTTTTTTGGAGATGAAAGGGATAAGTACTCTCTCGTCGGTATTAAGTGTTTCCTTCGCGTGATAAGCCCGTTTTTGATTTAATTGCAACATCGAGTTAGAAATTTCACTTATTTAAGAAGCCAAAAATATAAAATACGTCAAGTTTTAAAAATATTGTGATGTCATCAGAAGCAAATGATTGTCCAGATTATTAAAACTAAGTCAAGTGTTTTTTTTTCTAAATAGTCTTTCTGTCGACTATCGCTACATCCGCCTGTGTGTGGACAAGCCTAGCAATATCCCCATATTTACAAAACGAATGAAAACTACATCTCAAAGCTACCTCTTTAATGTTTAGATTGAAGATATTTCACAAATATTGTAAAGCTAGGGAGCGGTATAGTTTGTACTTCATGATTATAATATGTTCATAAGGTCGTGAGAGATAACAGCTGGGAGAGGTGGATAGTTTCGAAAGTTCACCTGCTTACAAATTGATGATAAGCCCCGGTAGAGTAATGAGTTATAAAGGATCTTGGAGAAACCTAATCTAACTTTACTTTGCATTCAAAAGCAATGAAATCCGCAAATGAAAAATTATATTATTTTACTTCACTACTTGAAGAGGTTGAACTTTTTTCAGGTTACTGCCAGTTGTGCAATAAATACATTTTCGTCATGGCATCAGAGACAAAAAACGCTTCGCGAAAAAGTTTTTCTTGTGCTTATCGAAAAGACATTTATAGAAAAGATTCTTATTTTCGAATAGAAGTTGAACTTGTGTTCTAATAATTTCAGAATATTTAGGAAAGCCATAGAGTCTTTCCCTCCTGCACGCTGAAATTAATAATCAACTTCAATTTCAATCTTCTCTAGAATAAAAAGTGTTATATTTTCCTGTTAAATGTTTAGACTTTTAATAAACATAAAATTTCACAAGTTAAGAGGGGTCAAAAATGAAAAATTTAGAGACAATTTCGAAGAAAGTGTCCACGTCATTTTACACTCGTAAAACAACTCTTCACGATACAAATAATGCTTTGTAACTTTGATTTCACCTCACGCAATTAAGGTTTCCGCAAAACTTACCTTCTTCTCGAGTTTCAGAATGTCCTTCTCGTTGTCCATTTACATCGGAAAACATGGCAGAGT